GAGGCTATCTATAGGGACAGTTTCCTGTCTTCTAGCTGATATTAAGTCATAGTTCTGGTGAATAATGTGCACACGGCATTTTAGGGGAAAATATTAGCAATTTTATGGGACAATATACCTATTTTGGGCTAGGGGAAACAGTCTTTATTCAGCTGTAAAAAACAGGGGGAAAATCACTGATAGGGCCATATAACCTGCCAAATATAGGGCTGTATAACCTGCCAAATATTGGGATGTTTAACCTGCTAAATATAGGACCGTATAACCCGCCACACATAGAGCTATAAAACCTGCCAAATATTTGGATGTATAACCTGCCAAACATAGGGCTATGTAACCTGTCAAATATAGGGCTATATAACCTGCCAAAATGTATGGCTATATAACCTGCCAAATATAGGGCTATATAACCTGCCAAATATAGGGCTATATAAGTTGCTACATTTAGAACCATTTAACCTGCAAAATGAATGGCCATATAACCTGTCAAAATAGGGCCATAAAACCTGCTAAATATAGGGCCATATAAACTGCAAAAAAATCTCTGTATCTAATAACTTGATAATAATTACAGTCTCTTATATTTCCAAACATTTGGGGAAACAAGAGAGCCATGATGGCCCTGAGGTTGCTCACCTGTATATAGTCCCCCGCAGGGGGGCCAGTATAAACCCCAGGGCCTTTATTTGAACAAATTTGGCAAACACCCATTAGAACACCCATTATGTTTCATGATGTGAAGTTTTTACTACACACATATGAAACAAGAGGGCCATGATGGCCCTGGGGTCACTCACTTGAACATAGGCCCCCAGGGCCGGGCCAGTTTAAACCAAAGGGCTTTTATTTGAACAAACTTGGAAGACACCCATTAGAAGATATTTCATGATGTTAAGTTTTTACTATACACAAATAATGAATAACAATGACTTTTGCCCCCCCCCCCCTCTCCCTGGCAGGGCCAATTTTGACCCAAGGGCTTTTATTTCAACAAACTTGGTAAACATCCATTAGAACATGTTTCATGCTAAATATCTTAGCTCTAGCTCTTTGGGTTCTTTAATAGAAGATTTTTAACTTTTTACTCTATGTATATAAGGAAAATCAATGACCCCTGGGACAGGGCCAATTTTGACCCCAGGGCTTTTATTTGAACAAACTTGGTAGACACCCATTAGAACATATTTCATGCTAAATATCTTAGCTCTAGCTCTTTGGGTTCTTTAAAAGAATTTTTTTAAAGTTTTTACTATATGCATATATGGAAAATCAATGACCCCCTGGGGCTGGGCCAATTTTGACCCCATGGCTTTTTATTTGAACAAACTTGGTAGACATCCATTAGAAGATGTTTTACGCCAAATATCTAAGCTCTAGCTCTTTGGGTTTTTTAGAAGAAGATTTTTTTAAGTTTTTACTATATGCATATAGGGAAAATCAATGACCCCCTGGGGCGGGGCCAATTTTGACCCCAGGGCTTTTATTTGAACAATCTTGGTAGACACTTATTAGAAGATGTTTCATGCTTAATATATTAGGTCTAGCTCTTTGGGTTCTTTAAAAGAAGATTTTTTTAAGTGTTTACTATATGCATATAGGAAAAATCAATGACCCCCTGGGGCGGGGCCAATTTTGACCCCAGGGCTTTTATTTGAACAATCTTGGTAGACACTTATTAGAAGATGTTTCATGCTTAATATCTTAGGTCTAGCTCTTTTGGTTCTTTAAAAAAAGACTTTTTTAAGATTTTACTATATGCATATAGGGAAAATCAATGACCCCCTGGGGCGGGGCCAATTTTGACCCCAGGGCTTTTATTTGAACAAACTTGGTAGACATCCATTAGAAGATGTTTTACTCCAAATATCTAAGCTCTAGCTCTTTGGGTTTTTTAGAAGAAGATTTTTTTAAGTTTTTACTATATGCATATAGAAAAAATCAATGACCCCCTGGGGCGGGGCCAATTTTGACCCCAGGGCTTTTATTTGAACAATCTTGGTAGCCACTCATTAGAAGATGTTTCACGCTTAATATTTTAGCTCTAGCTCTTTGAGTTCTTTAAAAGAAGATTTTTAAATTTTTACTATATGCATATAGGGAAAATCAATGACCCCCTTGGGCCGGGCCAATTTTAACCCCAGGGCTTTTATTTGAACAAACTTGGTAGACACCCATTAGAAGATGTTTCATGCTTAATATCTTAGCTCTAGCTCTTTGGGTTCTTTAAAAGAGGTTCATTTTAAGTTTTTACTATATGCATTTAGGGAAAATCAATGACCCCTGGGGTGGGGCCAAATTTGACCCCAGGGCTTTTATTTGAACAAACTTGGTAGACACTCACTAGAAGATGTTTCATGCCAAATATCTTAGCTCTAGCTCTTTGGGTTTTTTGGAAGATGATATTCAAAGTTTTTTCTTCTGGTTGCCATGGCAACCAGAGTTCTGCATGGAATTAAATTCTTTGAACAATTTTCAAAGGTGACCACCAAAGGAACATTCCTGTGAAGTTTGGATAAAATTGGATTAGTGGTTCATGAGGAGATGTCATTTAAAGTAAAAGCTTACGGACAACGGACGGACAGACGGAAGCCGGATGATAAGCGATCACAAAAGCTCACCCTGTCACTTCGTGACAGGTGAGCTAAAAAGGTGCAACCAAGCATTGCTATGCTAATTTTTTTAAAGACACTACATATTTATTGTATCGTGGCCTTTCATATTATGACCATCTATAGTGTGTAGAATTTTAAACAAAACAAACCTTTCTACTTTGTGTGAAATCAAAACATATTTATTTTACACCTAGAAAGAGACATTGTAGCAATTGTCTGTTAACAATTTGTTCACTTCTCAATTACAACCAATAACTGTTAATCCGCTAGTTTAGAATGTGTGTCAATATCAACAAAGTCTAATATACGCTGCAAGGCAAGATATCACTATGTATATCTTTCTCATTTTGTATTCATGCGATTGGAGAATCAGAACACATGTTATATCTACAGCAGTTCGCATTGACCACGCATTGACCAATCAGTGACACACTAACATACTGCAGCTATTGTTGACAATAATACAAAATGGCGACAGATTCAATCAATTTTCCCCGATTACATGATTAATAAAGACACCTGCATATACATAATTGTTGATAATTGTTGCGGTGGTATGGTGAGTAAAGATAAACAATGCACAACGACTTTAAGGCGTCAATATGTACGAAATAGAGATGTCATCTGGAGCCGAAACGGCCATCCGGATATCCGAATCAAACATCCGGATACATCGGGATGTTCGGATCATTGTTATATTCTTAGTTGGCTGATATGACGTAACCATTTTTACTCGACCTTTATCAAAGTGTAGTATTTCATTTCATTTCCTTTTTAATTGAATGTTACGGATCAAAATAATTTTGGTATTGATTTTATCTTTTCTATATAAAATATGACTGTTATCGATAAATTGAGTGCGTATGATACTTACGATTTCAAATGAAATTCATCGCCGATTGTCTAAATTCCTTAATTAGTGCTTAAATACACAATAAAACTTGCTCACATTTGTGAAAACAAAATAACACCCATAAAAAAATTAAAAGTTTCCATTGTTCAATAACATGTATACAATTTACACACGATGATCTTTGACAGGTGTGTAGTCCGCTTTTCAAAAGAATCTGCCAATCTTTGATGTTTACCAACATGTAGACCTGGCTGTTTGATTTGAATCATCAAAGAAGTTGCCGAAACTTACATGAATTACACATATTTTAAGTGTTCATAAGTGAAAAAAATAATGTGAAAAAAATAGTTTTTAAAAAAGGCACATGTTTGATTAATACTAAAGGAGAAAGTCATTTTGTCGGATAATTATCGTATCAATTTCAATAAAAGCTGTGATTATTAACATATTATCATTCGTAAGTGCATTTCTTTATTTGCGAATTATATTCTGCAGATTTTTCATTTTCTCAAAATAAGGAGACGACGGGTCGGAAAGCCGAAATATATGAAAAAAATTGCCTAATTAAATATTTGAATTTGAACATAAAAAATGTGAAATCGTTGCCGATGACAATCGCACGGGACTCAGAATATTCATCTTGAATCCTACAAAACTTAAATTTGTTTGGTGTTCATTAACAACATGTGTCACATACAACTCGTAATTATTATAGTAATTACTGATTTTTGGGGGGCCTGCAGAGATTATGATGTGTATTGTCAAATTAAGGTACAATATGCAATATGGTGTCAACACCAAGTCTACGTCAATTATCTCAGCGCATGTGACAGTTCATGTATTTTTCACATTTTCTCAATATTCTGAAAAATTTTATACCAACATCCGGATCGGCTCCGGACACCGAATCGTGATCCGAACGTTCGGATATCTGGACTCCGAATGACATCCCTAGTACGAAAACTGGATCGTTAATACTATTGGAGCACTTATCTGTAGAAATAATGTGAAGATTTGGGTCTTTTACTTTATTAATACATTAAACTCCGTAAGGTAAACACTTTACACTTTTGGTCAACACTCATTATACAAAATTAAATGTCTCTAACATTTTGGCTTGTGGGCAAATCGCTAAACGAAAATTATAGACGATGACCAGTCTGACTCACTGCCAATGACAAGTGGCACTGCTGTATCTGCCTTGAATATTGTTACCAACTAAACATATTCAATACATGTATATGCAGTATATGTAAATATTGTGTTTGCTATTGGTATACATTTATGACGAGTAGATTTATAATAGAATTGTTTTATTTGAGAGGTGTTTCTCATTTCTTTTCTGGTTTGTAAAGTTTCCTAGCTTATAATTCTCCAAATGACGACGCCTTATATGTCTCCCAACTTCTCCCTAAAGTCTCCTCACTTCTCCCTAAATCAGCTGGAGGGAGAAGTCACTTCTCCCTAAAATTTTGACCTAGCTCAAGCCCTGTCAAATTTGAGCAAAATAGTCTTTAAGCTAGAAAAAAACATACCTTTTATAGACACCAGGATGACTTACATCAATCATTTGATACTGTCCGTTAGGTAACAACAAACGACAGGTACCTGACTTTTTATCAGCTAACATCCTGGATGATTCCTGTATTTAAGACGAATCGAAGGAGTGAAAAAAAGTCATTTTGAAACATAATTAAGAAATTATATATCCCTATCAAGGATTTAATCGCTAAATAGAACCACTCACTATTTGGAGTTCAGATGTGAAGAATTATATCACAAAAGCTTAGCACAAGTGATGTAATGCTGCACATCCAAACGACAAACAGTGATTTTATAAAACGATAAAGTCCTTGATAGGGATATATTATTTCCATTCTAACTGACATCGTCAAGTAAATGCTGCCATACCTTATATCAAGCTAAATTGTGTCTGATTTGTTTCTATACTTATATCAATTTTAGTGCATGGCATTTTTTATGGTTACGTCAAATGACAATAAAAACAAGAGGGCCATGATGGCCCTGAAGTCTCTCACCTGTATAAAGGCCCCCGCAGCGGGGCCAGTTTAAACCCCAGGGCTTTTATTTGAACAAACTTGGTAGACATCCATTAGAAAATATTTCATGCTTAACATCTAAGGTCTAGCTGGTCAAGTTTTTTTCTTTACACATATAGTTAAAAACAATGACACACCTGGGGCAGGGCCAGTTTTGACCCAAGGGCTTTTATTTGAACAATCTTTGTAGACACTTACTAGAAAATGTGTAATGATTAATATCTAAACTCTAGCTATTCAGGTTTTTTAAAAGAATATTTTTAAGTTTTTTATATACACATATAAGGAAAATCAATGTCAGCCAAGGCAGGGCCAATTTTGACTCCAGGGCTTTTATTTGAACAAACTTTGTAGACACACACTAGAAGATGCTTCGTGCTTAATATCTAAACTCTAGCTATTTGAGTTTTTTCAAAGAAGATTTTTTAAAGTTTTTGTATAACACATAAGGAAAAGGAATGACCCCGGGGCGGGGCCTATTTTGACCCCAGGGCTTTTATTTGAACAAACTTGGTAGACACTCACTAGAAGATGTTTCATGCTTAGTATCTAAACTCTAGCTATTTGGTTTTTTTCAAAGAAGATTTTTTAAGTTTTTACTATATGCATATAAAGAAAATCAATGACCCCCTGGGGCGGGGCCAATTTTGACCCCCAGGGCTTTTATCTAAGCTCTAGCTCTTTGGGTTTTTTAGAAGAAGATGTTTAAAGTTTTTTCTTTTGGTTGCCATGGCAACCAGAGTTCTGCATGGAATGGAATTCTTTGAACAACATTGTTAAGGCTTCACACAAGTAACATCCTTGTGAGGTTTCATTATGATCTGCCTTATGGTTTCAGAGGAGATGTCATTTGAAAAGTGTGAACGGACAACTGACGACAGATGACGGACGAAGAGTGATCCTAATAGCTCACCCCGAGCATATGCTCAGGTGAGCTAAAATGATCGTCAACAGCAATTTTATTGCATATTTACACTCACTTTCCGTTCTTCTATTTTCAATAGGGAAAAATGCAGGTCATGTAAGATTATGCTTAATTTTATGCCAATCAGACAACTTTAAATATAAGAAATTTTCATCTGCCACTGAACATAATGGATTTGCTGCAATCAAGTGCTTATTTGTTATTTTTAGGAATTTCAATATCAATACCAGAGCTATCAGTATTTCTATTTTTAGCTTAAGCGGCCCCTAAAGAGGCCAATCAAATTAATATGAGCAAACTTGATAAAAGACTACCAAAAAATGCTACAGACAAAGTTTGGTGATCATCCATCCATAAGTTCTGTAGAAGAAAATGTCTAAAGGTTTTCCTATTTTTAGCCCAAAAGACCCCTAGAAGGGGCCAATCAAGTTAATATGAGCAAATTTGATAAAAGACTACCCAAGAATGCTACAAACAGTTTGGTGATCATCCATCAATTAGTTCTCTAGATATAGATGTTTACAGGTATTTCTATTTTTAGCTTAAGCGGCCCCTAAAAGGTTGGGATCAAATTAATATGAGCAAACTTGATAAAAGACTACCCAAGAATACTACAGACAAAGTTTGGTGATCATCCATCCATTAGTTCTGACGAAGAAGATGTCAAAAGGTTTTCCTATTTTTAGCCCAAAAGATTCCTTAAAGGGGCCAATCAAGTTAATATGAGCAAATTTGATAAAAGACTACCCAAGAATACTACAGACAAAGTTTGGTGATCATCCATCAATTAGTTCTCTAGATATAGATGTTTAAAGGTATTTCTATTTTTAGCTTTAGCGGCCCCTAAAAGGGGCTGATCAAATTAATATGAGCAAACTTGATAAAAGACTACCCAAGAATGCTACAGACAAAGTTTGGTGATCATCCATCCGTTAGTTCTGACGAAAAAGATGTCTAAAGGTTTTCCTATTTTTAGCCCTAGAGACCCCTAAAAGGGGCCAATCAAGTAAATATGAGCAAATTTGATAAGACTACCCAAGAATGCTACAGACAAAGTTTGGTGATCATTCATCAATTAGTTCTCTAGTTAAAGATGTTTAAAGGTATTTCTATTTTTAGCTTTAGCAGCCCGTAAAAGGGGCCAATCAAATTAATATGAGCAAATTTGATAAAAGACTACCAAAGAATGCTACAGACAAAGTTCGGTGATCATCCATCCATTAGTTCTGTAGAAGAAGATGTCTAAAGGTTTTTCTATTTTTAGCCCAAGAGCGCCCTAAAAGGGGCCAATCAAATTAATATGAGCAAATTTGATAAAAGACTACCCAAGAATGCTACAGACAAAGTTTGGTGATCATCCATCCATTAGTTCTGTAGAAGAAGATGTCTAAAGGTTTTTCTATTTTTTTAGCCCTAGAGCCCTAAAAGGGGCCAATCAAATTAATATGAGCAAATTTGATAAAAGACTACCCAAGAATGCTACAGACAAAATTTGGTGATTATCCATCAATTAGTTCTTTAGTAGAAGATGTTTTAAGGACTCAGGGTTGCCAGCACTTTGGTGAAATAAAATTCCCTGACTTTTCCCTGACTTTTCACTGACCAATTCATGTTTTTCACTGACCAAAATCATCAAACACATAATCCGCCTCCTGACCTCCCCTATAGCCGTCCAATCCTCTCATTATATTTTTGCATGTAAACTTGTATTTATTTTCCAAAATATAAAACATTTACATCAAAGTAATGATTCAAACATTGTGTTCTACTATTCTTAACTATTTCTATTCAAACACAGTGTGACTGTTGGTCAGTGAAACATGTGAAACATATGACATGAAAATCAGAAGAATCATAATATAAGCATCTGTATTAGAAATCACATAAGTCACTCTTTCCTTCCTAATAGTAACACATAAAACACCAAGACTATAAGAGTAATACTTGTATGACAAAACTTAAAATTCAAACATCTCTAAACTATAAGAACAATAAACATTTAACACAGTTACTTGTATAAGGCATCATGATAAACTCCACTGATTGTGAAAACAAGAACATAGGGCTCATTTTGGCATATCATGAAATAATCACTATAAAATTAAAGACTTTGAATGAGTGAAGTAAGTTAGTGTGAAAAACATAGCATTGCATAATTTAACCAGTTTCCATCATGTTTGCAAGACAAATCCTCTTGTACAATTTCTTAGTGTCAAAGCAAAAAGCAAAGCAGGTTATATGCAAATATGGTAGTTTGGTATACATGTATACTGACTAGATTTTGTTTGTAATTAAAAGCCCTTCTAGTGATCATGCACAGAAAAAGCTAGACCAATACAGAATACAGTGAGTGGCATGACTGTTACATTCAGTCTTTAGGCTGAATGATGTTCTAAGGTAAATAATGGGTATTATAATCACTGAGTTAACATATAATCCTTCTTAATATCACAGTTTACTGTTATTTGAATTTAATGCTTAACTGTGAGAGTGATAAAGCCAAATATTAAATGCCTAAAGACTGCCATAGCCAAGAAAGACCTTCAATGTGTATATTTTTCGACCTTTGAAATAATTTTTCCCTGACTTTTCACTGACTTTTCAGGATTTTCATTTTTCACTGACCAAATTTCAAAATTCTCTGACAATTCCCTGACCTTGAAAAAATACCCAATTTCCCTGACTTTTCAAGTCCGCTGGCAACCCTGAAGGTTTTTCTATTTTTAGCTCTGTTGACTCCTAAAAGGGGCCAATTGAATTGACATGAGCAAATTCAAATGTGACTTCACAAGGATGCTATAGACCAAATTTAAAGCAAATCTGCCCAGTAGTTTCAGGGAAGAAGATGATTGTTGACGCATGACGACTGAGCAACCCCTTTGATACTAATAGCTCACCCTGAGCCTTCCGCTGTGGTGATCTAATAAGTTTTATTTCCAGGGAAAAGAGTGATGATGGCAAAGTATTTTTCAAACCAATTCAATCCAGATTTGTCAAGGTAAAAATTCCGACTTACCGGATATGTAACATTATTCTCAGAATAATTTAAGCTACGTTGAATTCTTCTAGTGAAATCGTAACTCATATCTAAGCATGTTCGATCCTTGAATGCTATACGTATTTGTCCATTAGAAAGAGCAGTAAATTTACCGTAACCATTTATCTCACATTCATCCAACACTGTTGTCGACATAGGTTCCAAGATATCGACTTCCTGGTGCTTAAAAAAAATAAGAAACAGGTCTTATTATAAGTTAACAATTGCATGAAAGAATTTCCTTATAATCAATTAAAAAAATCGAAAGTAGTAGAATAATAAATACAATAAAAACTTGACCCAGTGTTGACAGTGGTTCCTCTTTCTTCTATTTTGTGTATGCTTTAAAGCATGACCTTCTGTCATAATTGAGTAAATGCATAAAAAGGTAAAATATTGTGAAGTGATCGAAGATAACAATTACCACATTGCAAACAGCACTTACAACCCCTGTAAATCAACAAAAATAAGTCAAAATGTGCAAAAATAGCCCTTACTGCATTATTAACACAGTAGAAATATAATGAAAAATTCTGCAAAATTGGTAATAAATTGCACATCAAATATAATTATTAGATCTACTTTAATATTGAATCTTTTACTTTTCTTAAAATCTCAGTACTTTTTTCTCAAGTTTGATTTTCTTGAAATATCTTGGTTCATATGGAGGCATGCAGCTTTTATAAAAAAGAAATGACTATTACTTCAGCATGACTAATACCTTAACAATACCTACATACGTCAAACTCATAAATAAACAAATTTTAAAGGAAGGTTTTTCTCAGTGGGGTATTATTATCATCATTCACTGCATTAACAGTGATAAGAACAAAACATCGCTGCTACATGGCCCACCTTAAATAAGGCTACAACTTCTTTATTTTGAGCTTTGGCTGTGAGTGTTATTAAAAACATTATGAATTATGGAAAAGTGTAATTCAAGTTTCAACGCAGTCTTTTGCTCTCAAGCATATAATTACATAGAAATGCAGACTTGGTTTGATTAAGTCAGTATAGGAAATGTGCAACATTCCTCATATACCCCTAGCACCTGCTTGAGCGGTACTCAATTGAAAACACTTTAAAAACATAGATGATGGGTAATGTATAGATTGTTCAATTAATGCACAAGTCTTACTCTGATAATGAAAGACCTTTCAAGCATGTAAGAGAAAGGCTAGGAAGAATATAATGAATGCTGTACTGGAAAAATGACACCTGACTGTGCAACCTTCAGAAGAAGGAATGTGGTGTTGGAATTATTTTAAAAGTGCATTTCCATGCAATGGATACTACCGTTTCAAACATTTGAGCTGTGTCATGACAAAACCAACATAGTCACTTAGTGTGTTTGCGACCAGCATGGATCCAGACCAGCCTACGCATCTGCGCAGTCTGATCAGGATCAATGCTGTTTGCTTACCAACTCTATTACAAGTAGAGAAACTGATAGCGAACAGCATGGATCCTAATCAGACTAAGCAGATGCGCAGGATGGTCTGGATCCATGTTGGTTGCAAACCCATTATGTTGGTTTTGTAATGACGTGGCATTTGTTGATACTGTGTGTTTTCTTTGTCTTGGCATACTATGTGAAACCACTTGCCACAGGTGTCACAGTCACTAGAGGGATTATCATCAGTGACCTGGGAGATGCTGCACTTCCACAAGGAAAATCAGGGCCAGGATTAGTCTCAGTATCGCAGGAGATAGACAATGGTAAATTAAGCATCAAGTTTCTTGTTGTTTGGTCGTTGAAAAACATAATGACTCATCTGGTAAAATACTAGATGAACTTGTTGATGATGCATGAAGGTCAAGGTCAATGTTGTGAATATGACATGGCTTGAAAAAAACAAACCTACCTACAATCTACAATCAATGTTTGAGAAAAAATTCAAAAATATTATTAAAAGTACTAAAATGTTTCAGTTTTCTATCTAGTAAAGAAAGGAAGAAACAATATTAGTGAACAAATGATGTCTTTGGAAAGACTTTAGACAAGCTTTGTGTTGCAATGTCAGCGTATCCAACGCATGCACCATACGAAAGGACATTAAGCTATATCTAATGAAATATTTTTAACAGAGTTCACAATGCCAAATGGTATCCCTTTAATAATAAAGGAACAATTTCTTGCATATAATTATGCCTTTCCCTCCTCAAATTTACCTTACATCTGTAAAATGAAATCAAAGGTCCTTTTCTCCGGCCGGAATACATATTTCTTTCATGTAAAAAATTTGAAATTGTACCTTACAACATTTTCTAATAATTTTTTTAATTTTTGTAAAAACTCAAGCAGCAGAAGCCAGATATATACATGACTTGTACCTTCATACACTTCAATGTTATTTACAATTTTTATGGCCATTCCCTCTTTTGGAAATTTACACTTACATATTTCTTTCATGCAGGAATTTAGGAATCAATCCTTTTCAAAGTTATCATATAACATTGTTATTTGTATAAACTACAGGGAGCAGGATCCTGATATATTTACATTTACCTTTATACACTTTAATATAAATTATTACAAATTTCATATAAAACAAACAAAATGCAAATAAAAATGCAAAATATCAATAAAGGATCCCTTACATTGGATAAAAACTGTAAGGTCATGTTTCTTAAAACTTTAAAAAATACTAATTAATTCTAACAGTATTTAACTGACCATAAGATTTGTTTTATTCAGGTAGACATAAATTCCAATTTTGAGAACTCAGTAAGATACGAATCATTGCTTAGCAACAAAAATACAATATAATATAAAATGTCTCGGTATAGAAGTACTTATGTAACAGAACAATGCCTGCATGCGGTTATACGTAAGAAGTATTTCAGTTTAAATTAATCAACAACAGGTTTGTCAAGCAGTTTGCCAAATGAGTCACTATGGTTTCCAACTATCAAACAACATGAAACTTAATGCCTCATTTAAATACGTATTTAATTAATTTTTTTTGCCACAGGAAAAAATACAGAAATAAATCCTAATATGGTTTATTTTTCTCTTCTGTTACATAATTATTATGAACAGAAAAATATGTTATGAGATTATTATACAAAGTAGTTTATTAGTTTATACATATTTATTTTGCCTGATTATGAAACAAGCTCTTGCAACTTATATTAATCTCTTTCAAATCTACATCCTGGGACCAACCAGTACTAGTGTCATATGAAGAAACATGGTTATGACCTGAGTAGGACTATAAACTATGATTTTTTCGGTTGAGAGGCTGACAACATGACAACTAGGACACCATTCCCCTTTATTAAGTAAAGTAAAATCCGGAATTCAATTGCACGGATACAAAGATATCAAAACTATATTGAACGAGGTGCAAACCAGTAAACTAGCACTGGTAAACTGTTTGACAGTCTGCCCAAGAACAATGTGGTGGCAGAACTATGCAAAACTATGGGTAACTGCTGTGATAAGGACGATAAACTACCAACACCACCACCATAACAAAAAACCCCACATTTTTTGGAAATATTCCACTGTTTGACTACTTGGTATATTGGTTTTGGTTTTTCTAAAAAGAAAACAATCTTACCTTCCAACAGCAGAGACCAGCTGATGCCGGTAACACAGTCTCTTCTTGTCTCACATAGCCTAAAAATCTGTGGGCTCGACTGATCAAGCTCTTGATAGAGTAGCCTCCCTTGTCAGTAGATGGTGGGGACTTTATAGAGTATGTCCTGTGTTCAAGCTAAGTGAAACAACAAAAGCAAATTACACACACATATATATATATATATATGTAGTTTATAAAGCATTTTATCACATACCTGTTCCCCTTTTTTGGACTCTGTAAAAATGGTTTTGCCAAGCCATGCATATATTTTGACGTAATGTCATTTGTACAAATATAGTGTAAAGACACTCTATACGTAAACGTGTCAATGGAAAATAATTCTTTTTCACTTTAAACAGTCTTCATTTTGGGTATGTGATGAATAGTTATTATATTGGTGTAAGTTCATTACTGAATTTATTGAACTTGTTCAATGAAATAATATTATGCTCCCATAATATAACTTCATTTAGCTTGTTCAATAACTTCAGTATCGAACTTACACTCATTCAATATCCTCTATATATTACTGTTACAAGAGTCCCTCAGATGTAGTTCATAAAGCATTTCTTACTCATCTTTTTTAAAAAAGTACTATAATTATCTTCATACTGTCCTTGGCTGAAACTGTTATTGTAAAACCTTTACAAATACATGTATCATGAATCAGATATAAAATGAAATTAATTAATAAATAAATAAACAATTTGGGATTGGGGATATGTTTTTACCCAATAAAGGATGGGAATTTTATGTTAAATATTTTGACAGAAATGTTGACCAATATATTCATTAATACATGTCTATATTATATTGATATTTGTGATCAATTGGCTAACTTTCAATTATAAATAATCATCATTCAAACAGTGCACTAATTAATACAATTTGTTCAACACTCTCAAGATAACATTCCTTGCTTGCCATTCCATTAATATGTATATCAATATGCTATGATTAGATAAAAAAAATCTTTTACAATTTTACAATTACGTATCCACATGATTGTATGCTGATAAAACTAATTTGATATTGGTGCTGAAATAATTCTAATTTGAAATAATCTATTCTTATTATGCCCTCCAGTGCTGGTGGGAAGATTTAACCCATTTCATTTGGTAGTTTTGGCGATTTAACTTTGCATGCAAAGACTTAACCAAAGTGTGATGCCAATGGCCCAGCAAGTACCACTGTTTTCCCTAATCTTCTAACAGTCAGGCTATTTGATGGTCTTAAATATTTCATAAACAGAACCTTTCAACAGAAGTTGTTTACAGATGATTTTTATCATGCAAATTATCCTTTAACAAGATTGAATTAATATGAATCTAGTGGCCAATCTTACTATTCTTCTCAGTTACAATATTTTACAAGATTTACCCATTTTCTTTACTCAGTTATGCAAAATTGCCCAAAAACTAGAACTGTGTTCAAAGGACACGGATGCCCCCATTGACAACATATATATGGTATATAGTGAAAAAATCAACAAAGGGCCATAATTCTCTTAAATTTGGTCGCAGTTAAAATTCCTTCCTTGACTTCCATCTACACATTAGGGTTGTTCATCCCTGGAAGTTTAAGCAAAATCTACCATCTGGTTTAAGAGAAGTTGGGTTCACAAAATTTCTATATGGTATATAGTGAAAAAATCAACAAAGGGCCATAATTCTGTCAAATTTTGTTGCAGCAAAAATTCCTTCCTTTACTGCCATCTACACATTAAGGTTGTTCATCCCTGGAAGTTAAAGCAAAATCTGCCATCCGGTTTAAGAGGAGTTGCGTTTACAAAATTTCTACATACTGTAAAACACTTATTTTTCAAGAGAACCTTATTTCGCGAATTTGAGGCAAAATGTCCAAAATAATTATTTTGCGTCAACATGAATTTGCGTCTTCCTGAAAAATGTGAAACAGGAAACCCGATGTCATTCGGATAATTTCTGTCCTGTCCATTCACTAACTTTGCGTCGTTTATTGTGCGACAATGCATTTATATCCGTATCGATTTTTCTGATAGCTTGCTAATCTTTTTGTTAAGTGAAAATGTATGTCTAAATATATGTTTACAAAGTTTAATAATTATTTGATATGTGTTCACTGTGTTTGTCATGTATTGTCCCTGATTATACTCCGTGCCTCTAGCATTGATACTAGTAATGCAAAGTGTTAAAGTTTCACTGATTAGCCATTCAAAAGCAAGCAGACGCAAATCAATTAAACGGAACTATAATTTGCCTAACCTGTAGTAAAAAATTATGTTTACCCTGGGGCTTAAACTGTTTGAAGGTTACATATATTGTTTTGTAAACATTTGACAGACTTATGTCTATTAAATAATGTTAATAATTTGCATAAAACATTTGCCTTGTACCATACATCAATTAAACTCCAATTACATACCAAAACAGTTATTCTGAAACACTTGAATAGCTACATGACGTAACTAGAACTGGCTTCGATACTTTCCCGCAGATATATATCCATGCGTACGCATTTTCAGATAGTGTTCATTTTCGGACAAGTGTATAGAGAAAGTGAAATATTTGCGAGAAATAAGAATTTGCGTCTTAGAAAAAATCGCGAATATTAGCGAAAATAAATTTATCGCAAATAATAAGTGTTTTACAGTAGTATATAGCGAAAAAATCAACAAAGGGCCATAATTCTGTCAAATTTGGTTGCAGCAAAAATTCCTTCCTTTACTACCATCTACACATTAAGGTTGTTCATCCCTGGAAGTTAAAGCAAAATCTGCCATCCAGTTTAAGAGGTGTTGCGTTCACAAGATTTCGGGACGTACGGACGGACAGATGTTAGGACGGACGGACGGACAAGTAAAACGCTATATGCTCCCACTTTGTAGGGGGCATAAAAAAAACCCTACAGAGTTTACATAACTTTACAGAGTCATGTCTTTTTGTTATTGTGATAGATGTCAGCTAGCCTGCCATTGCTTTTCAATGAAAAGTTGAAAAATATTTACTTGCTGTTTTAGCTTAACCTTGTTCAATTACTATATGCCTGGGGAAAAGAACAAGTTAAAAAGCTTTTTAACTTTTTAGAAGAACTTTTTATGAAGCACAAAGAACACATAAATCTATGTGAAGTACATACCTTGTCTCCATGTGGTATTATATGCAGAAAAAAGTGAGCGGACATTCCTTGGGAGATAAGAACACTACCATCGCCAGGGTAAACTTCAACAACTTTCATTGTGGGAAGGCGGACAATCCTATACAAACAAATATGTTTAAAAATGATCAGATGTAACAGACAAAAATGTATCACTCATAGACTAGTTTGATAAAACATATAAAACAAGAACATGTTCGGTATACATATGCCCCTGGCCTAGATTCTTGTCATTAACAAAAATTTAAAAGAATACAGTCAGGACTCATTACAACGACACTGTTGGTTCCCAAAGGATATGTCAGTATATCGAATTTGTCAGTATAGTGAATTTCATTATTCAAAATATTGTAATTGTAATGATATGCTTATTCACTGGTATCTGAACATTATGTATTTAGATCTGTAATAAACATCTAAAGTGAAACAGACGGACGGACACCAGGGGGTATAACATAATATGCCCAAAATTCTTATTAATATCACTTTGTGTAACATCATTTTTACTTTCTTTATATGAAATGATTTTGTATTTTTGTTCAAAAGTTAAATTAGTCTGTCAACGTTTAGCTGGAGGTTCTGCCATTATTTTAATAAAAACAAGTTGGCAAGTGTAACAAAATTCAGCTGACACGTTGGTATTGTAATACATGTAACAATCAACTGACCAAGGTACAATACCTGTTTTAACACCTTGCGACTTTTGTTCAAGGCTCATTGATACACGCGCTTGACTGACCAAGTGTCAGTTTAACGGGTATTGATTGTATAGAAAATAACAGGTTTGGTTACCAATTTTATTGTGTCGGAGTCGGAATACAAATTTTCCGTTATAACGGATAATAATAACGTTGAAAAAGTTTGGTTCCCACCAATTCACTGTCGTTATTTGAATTTGTCAGTATAATGGATTCCGATGTATTGAGTCCTGACTGTACCTATTTACTCAAATATGGATAACAAAATTTGCCAAAAGAAAATTGTCAACACAGTTATATAACTTGACAGAGTCATGACCTTTTGTTATTGTGATAAATGTGAAATGGCATGTTATAGCTATTCAATGAAGTTGAAAAATATCCAACTTGCTGTTTTTGGTTTACCTAGTACAGACAGAAAGTTCAATTAGTATATACCTAGGGAAAAGAACAAATTGATTAAAAACCTTTTTAATTTTTTAGAAAAATCTGAAATACTAAGACTATATAAAAAAATTTAATTTTTGACTTAATTAGATCTTTTCAATGACATGCCTTATATAAAAAGTGTGTCCAAGATGTTCTTTGATTAATCAGTTATCACTTTTTATACCAATATAAGGCCTTGTTTCTACCATGAACTTTACTCTAATACATAATATATAGTTTTGTAAACATTTGACAGACTTAAGTCTATTAAATAATGTTAATAATTTGCATAAAACATTTGCCTTGTACCATACATCTAATAAACTCCAATAACATTTGTGGGGATCGAGGTGAATGTCTAGATTGGACATGTTAAAGCTGCATAAAAAAAAATGTTCACAGATTTTTTCCGTCCACTTAAAAACGAAGCATTCTATAGTTATGTTAATGTTTTTAGCAGTATTGATGTATATTTCATTGAATATTCTTCATAAGTTATGATTTTGAAAGGACAACCCCGCAGTAACACTACAGTTCATATACGAATTTTAACATGCAAATAAAGCCAATAACAAGCTTGTGGCACTATGCGCTACATCACAATGGTAAAATCAATTGTTACTATGTGGATCACAGCAAATATGAGATATTCTTGTGTAAAACAAACTTTTAATGTTTTAGTTTCATGGTGCATTAGCCCTGTTGTTCACAAAAAGGTAATCATCTCATAAAAAAGATTGAATTTGTATGAAAACATCCGTAATATAATGCCAAATTATACCATTAAATTTGGACTGCTCCTTTAAAATGTTTGTTATTTTCTTGTTATGTAAGGATGACCAAAAGGCCCTGAAGCAGAGTATCTCATGCAAATAGGAATTGTACTTCCGATTTCGCCACAATGAGGTTGCAAAATTTTAGGCTTATAAAACTCATTTCGGTTGTCTGGACACCAAAATAAGAATGAGAGTCAATATGAAACACATTGATTGTTTTTTGACATGTCAGGACTGGAAATAATTCTTAAAGATTAATGTTCCATATGATGTAGATCCAGACTAATAACTAGTGTGCAAAATTTCAGATCATTCGCTCACTCCGTTTAAAATTTTGTGAAGAGTGACCAAATTTTGAAAGATGTTACAATGCTTTGCACTTACATTGGGCAAAAAATAGCACAAAAATATGATTTTCAATTTATTCACCTGTATGACTTGATTATATTTTGCAAATCTTTCAGTTTTAACTTTTAAGTGCCCCACCGGATCTATGTAAGAAATTAAAATTTCGTGTTTTTAGGCTATTGCACCTGAGTCACTCACCAGGAGTTCCTTTAAGTTAGTTTTAGTTAAAGATAAAACATTTTTTGAATAAACACTCCTCTCTTACAACATTGCATTTGAAGGTTACATTTTAAGATAGATACAACTTAACTTCAACACAGCAACAGATGGAAACAAGAGATGTCATGCAAGTGATGAATGCCCCCAAAAAGATTTCTTAAGCATGCAGGTATTATAAAAAGAAAAGAGAATGAAAGTAACTAATTGCTTAATATTGTTTTTGTGAAATGAAGTGCTATTTATAGCAAACTTTACACCTTGGGACAATGGTCTTGGATGCGACACATCATCTTGATGTGGTAGACATTTACACCAAGTTATTTCAAAATCCTTCAATGCATGACAATGTAACAGTTTGGAAACTAATGTGTACCTTCAAACTCTTCTTATGAGCATAAGTACCTTCAAACTATTAGAGTGACGTTGACCTTCGAGGTAGGAACATTGGTTTTAAACACAACACATCATCTTGATGTGGTTGACATTAATGCCTAGTTATCCTAAAACTCTTCAATGCACGACAAAGTTATAGTCCGGACAAGAATGTGTGTACCTGTAATCTCTAATTGTCATAATGTGAAACTTCAAAATGTAAGTGTGAGGTTGACCTTTGAGGTAGGGACGCTGTTCTTGCACGGGACACATTATTTTGATGTGGTAGACATTTGTGCCAAGCTATTTCAAAGTCCCTCAATGTATGACAAAGTTACAGTCCGGACAATACTGAAGGGGGGACGCACAGACAGACTGACCGATGGTCAATTTTAATATGCGGCCCTTCGTGGGCATAAAAATAAACACTTCAAAATCAGTTTGGTTCTGGAATTTAACACCTTGTATTATATCCCATCTCCACAAATTTATAATAAGTGTTATGAGTGGAAACAAATTTTGTGTTTATTGATAGACATATTTATGACTATTTCTTTACAATGTGTTGGTGCCCCCCAGGCCTCTACAATGTGTTGGTGCCCCCCCCCCCAGGCCTCTACAATGTATTGGTGTCCCCAGGCCTCTACAAAATGAAAATTACTAAACATGTACCTGTAAATCACACCATCTATAAGAAGCACTTTTAGCCGACCTTGAGAAAAAGTTGTTGGATCTTCCAGAGGGTTTTTTCCATCGTCATACGTCATTTTAGCATGCATTTTATGCAGGTGCTGTCCGGGGCATGACAACGGAAGTGACTGTGGTAACTGTGACATTATACACATCCTACGGTCTATTTGCCGCAGTTTTGAAATCTCTGTCTCTTTCTTTCCTTTTACTCCCTTAGGCACTATTTTCCAACATGAAATAAAAGCAAATTAATACATGTACATCACATAGAGTACTGATAAATTATCATACTAAATTCTTACATATTTTCAATTCAAAGTAAGGGGTATAAAGTTTCTTCTGTATTTTTAAACATTCTAAAATCTGTTGACTGAAAAATCATAGCAATTTCATAGAAATTTCTCATTCTGTTTTATATTGAATTCATACATTAGAATAATTGGATCCTTATTTGGTAGAATCAAGTTTAACATCAATCAAATTTAGTCAAAATTTAACACAAAATAAAATTTAGTGAAACTTAGTCATAAAATGAAATTAGACAAGGAAATGTCCTGTTTCTCTAAATAAGCAGTGACTATTTTTACTTAGAATTTGAAAATTCTGGAAAAAAGAGATTGTTCAAGAGCAAAGAAAACAAATAAAGGTGAACATTTCAGACTCAATTTAAATGATAGTATTCATGATATACAATGGTGGTGGTGGTAGTAGTATTCACTGCGGATCACGGCAGTAAGTCGCATTTAATTTACCAGAGCACACATCAGTCACCACATCATTCCTGGGCAGGCTGCCAAGCAATTTATCAGTACTAGTTGCCTTCACTTTCCCAAGGATCTGATCACTTCTGAGCACATGCCAGAGCAGATGTACATTGCGAATGACCGTAGAAAGGATTTCATGATCAATCACAATGATAGTGACCTGCACCATCTGGGAATTGAATCTGGATTGCCCGATTCACAGTCTGACGCTCTACCTATTGAGCTAACAGGTTAAATTTTCCATGATAGACATTGTAAAATTAAACATATGATTATACAAATATAGTGTGGAAAACATTATATAGATCATTTCAAGTAAACACAAGAAGCACTGCAATGCGACGAAAACCAGATTTTCAACAACCAAGCATTGATATGACAGGAATAAGGAATGAAGTATGAGCATGTTGCATGCTTGTTTCCTGAAAAAAGAAGTGCTATATAAAATATCTGTCATAAATGAAAAAAAATGTAAACTATTATTTCTATGGTGTTTATAAGTCAGTTATTGGTGTGACCTTTACCTTTGGACTAGAGACAGGAAACCACCCCAACTAGAAAATATCTGAATACCTGACATCCTCTTAACTTATGGTAGTGTGACAACTGATATTTAAATCCCACCATACATGGGACATATATTTTTTCTAATATTGGTGCTCTAAGAATTTCTCTCACAGTCATGTTAAATAATTTGACTATGCACTTGAATCATATGTTTACTGCATTAATCATCCCAATGTCAACCATTTTAAATAGTTTATTTACCAAAGCAGTGTTAGAGCATACAAAAATTCATTCTTACCACTTCTTTTTTGAAGGTTACCACCACCATTTTCTGCCACATCTTGAACCATTTTTACAACTTGACTCCAATTCATAGGGCATTCATCACAAGATATATGTCTGGTCAACCAACAATATTTACATCTTGTCTGCGTCTCAGTTTCACAACTTGACTGTGATGAAGAACTTACAAAACTTTCTTGTGATATTATTGTATTATCTTCACGTTCATGTGAATTATGAAACCCAGGAAGGTCATATTCTCGTTTATAATTTTGCTGATTTTTTTCTCTATAACTTAAACTGCTTCTTTCAATTCCATTTTGTTCATATCTCATTTTTTCACTTTTATTTCCGGTTGAATTCTTATAATCTTCTCCAATAAAACTACCTTCTATATTTTCTTTTTGTGCAAATTTTACAGAGTTATGTCTCTTTGTTTTAAGGTAATCATTAAACACGGCTGTATCACCATATGGTGTACAAACTGGCGATTCATTATCTTCCAACCCTTCTGTGGGCGTGGAAAAAGGACGGAATTTAGCTTCATCATCTTTAACAAGATTCTGAGGTGTAATTGGGCTTCCACTAGCATTACTCATTGCACGTGGACTGTCTGCACAACTGGCTTGAGTGATCGGTGAAATGTTCAAATCTTCACAAACAACGTCGTCACCGACACATTTATCACAAGAAATCACATCCTCATCGAACCCATGTTTCAACTTTGGCACGACATCTGGCATATTGCCTGAACATTTACTTTGGTACTTACTTCCATCGTCTATCAGTCCTACTTTACGTGGATGAGATTCTATCAGTTTTTTCCGTCTTATTTTAGCTTTTTCTCTACATTTGTCTTGGCTTACAAAAGATAAGTAGCAGATGGTAAAATCTCTCCTATGGGCAGAGAGAATGAGGCTAGCAAATTCATCCTCAGATGTGATGCAAACACTTCCATCCTGGAGGATCTCGATATTATCTCCGTTGGCTGTTTTAGGCCAAGCGATCTCTTTTATTCTGGCAAACAGCGGCTAAATAAAAATGAAGGGATTATGTGAAACTTATAATACGTGTATTATACAGTATATCGATAATTTTTCTTCTTAAAGCTGCATGATACACGATCAGCCAAAATATCACACTTGAGAAAAATGTAAAAGATTTTAAGAAAAGTAAAATTATTCAAGATTCAAGAAATAATTGATATGTTATGTGCAATTAATGACTGATTTTACAGTATTTATAGAATTTTTCTCTACTGCATGACTAACAGAGTAAAGGACACTTTTGCATATTTTTACCTCTTTTGGGTAATAAATGGATTGTACATGTGCTTTTCTCAATGTGTAAATTTACTAAATTACAATGTACTTTGTCTTTGTTCACTTCACTGGAAGCATGCTGCTTCAATAAGCAGTAACCCCTAAGAGCTGTCAGTAAAACAGCTAATTCACTATTCTCAGTGTGTGGTAGCAAAACAAGAGACTGACTAATGTAGAATTTTGTAAGTTCAAACAAAAGCGATCAGTAATCACATGTGTTGCCTCATGATGGCCAATTTCATGTTGGGACAGGTTTTGTGACAGACAGACAGACAGACAGGACAGTGCACAACAAGACTTGGTACTGATCATTCCTGTAAAGTTTGGATAAAATTGCACCAGTAGTTTATGATAAGTAGTCCAGACAAGCTTTTGTGTATCTGGCAACACACAGAAAAAAAACACCTTTTTATGAATGGGCCATAACTTGGCCAAATATCATTCAACCAGAAAACCCATACAATATGCGCAAGGACTTGAGCTACAGATCAATCCTGTAAAGTTTCATTCAAATTGCATTAGTGGTATAAGAGAAGTAGTCCGGACAAACTTTAAAAATAGAAAATATTAAATGGCTATAACTCTTACAAAAATCATTGAACCGGAAAATGCTGACAATATGCACAATTAGACTTGGTACTGATCATTCCTGCAAAGTTTGGATGAAATTGCACCAGTAGTTTATGAGGAGTAGTCCGGACAAGTTTTGTGACGGATGGACAGACGGACGGACAGACGACGGAGAAGTGATCCCTATATGTCGCCACTACTCCATATAGACGACACAAAAAGAGGCACAATTCTGTTAAAATTTATGTTTAGAGTTATGGATCAAGACTGCAAAAAATCAAAGATCCAAAATTATAAATGTATATACCAAAAATGTATTACAACACATCTACGGGCTTTTAAAAATACATTTATTGTCAGTGACCCACCCCTCTTTTATTTTTAAGAGCCAAATTAAAGGGCCCCTTTTCCCCTTACCCCAAAAAAGGGACAAATTTTCCCCCAAAAAAGCCATAATAAAAATCCCCTTCCAAAAAGCCCCTGTCCCACTTCACCAGAAATGGGTTTTACAGCCCGGCTGCTTGTATCAGCTTTTTTAAAAAATTCAATTGGGTGAAGAAAAAACCTGGGCCCAAAAGGGACCTTTTGCTATTACCCTGCCCTGTTTAAAAAGAATGGCCCAAATTTAAAACTTTTTCAAAAAAGGTGTTTTTTTTAGTTTCCTCAGTTATTGGAAAATTTATGAAAGGTTTCCCTCCCCCCTTTTTTTAGATTTACCATGCTTTTGAATTTTTCCCCTTCAAAAAAGCTGCAAGGGATTTTTTTATAATTGAAAAAAAAACACTGATATAAAATAGAAATTTTGAGAAATTGCCCCACCCAAACTTTATCTGGCTCTAGAAGTTCCTCACAAATATAAGGCTGTTCTGCAAATCGGTTTCTAAAATCAAGGGCAGATAACACCATATCTTTGTATGCACTTGTAACATAACAACATCTCTGTTGTACCATTGCCATTCCTGTAATTATTACATTTACTCTGTTTTAAAACCATTGCCATTCCTGTAATTATTACATTTATTCTATATTAAAATCATTGCCATTCCTGTAATTATTACATTTACTCTGTATTAAAAACCATTACCATTCCTGTAATTATGTCATTTACTCTGTATTACAAACCATTGCCATTCCTGTAATTATTACATTTACTCTGTATTAAAATCATTATTAACACCTGTAATAATCGACTGGCATCTAACAAAAATTGTAATAATGACTTTTTATTTATCTGAAAAAAATTACACAATACATCATACCTAAACTGATCATGAACACAGCAAAAGTGGGGTATTCTAATCCCAGGTTTCAAACAAATTTACCATTAAAGGCACATTGTGCCTTAGAAATGAAAAAAAATTCATTCATAAGAATATGGGAAACATTAATTTCATAAAGTGTTTTAGAGCATGTTGCATCCTTATGACCTGAGGAAAGAAGCGTTGAATGTGAAATAATTTGTCATAAAAGTAGCAAATAGTTGTATTTTGACTTCCTAATTGCTATACATGTATCTGTACATATTGGTAAAAAGCAAAAGAAGCGGTGGATGGTTCAGTTGGCCAACATGTAACTTTTTGGAAATTATAACAGGAAAACAGAATTAAAGATTTTGAGAAATAAAAAATAAAAGCATTTCTGAGGCATGATAATGGGCCTTCATGGTGCAAAACCTGTCTTAAAAGATTTGTGAACTAGTTAAGCTTACTGGTATTATTGATATATTTACTAAAGTGTAACTGTAAAAGTTTCTTTGTACCCAAGGATAAGCTGGGGAAAAACCCAACATTTGCAGAGTACCTGAGGATATCTCTATTACTGTATTATTTACAGCAATTTAACAGTTCCGTTAACTTGGTTGAGGAAAGTTCAGAAAATAAAATAATCATTCAATAAGAGAACAGACCTATTACAGTATATTGGTATATAAATAGATTGGAAGGTTATGATTGTAAAACAATAAATAATTATGTTGTATTTATGTAGTATTAAGATACAGACATAAAATCAAACCATGAAAGAATTATATGAGCCGTGCCATGACAAAACCAACATAGTGCGTTTGCGACCAGCATGGATCCAGACCAGCCTGCGCATCCGCACAGTCTGATCAGGATCAATACTGTTCGCTATCAGTTTCTATACTTTTATTGGATTTGTAAGCGAACAGCATGGATCCTGACCAGACTACGCAGATGCGCAGGCTGGTCTGGATTCATGCTGGTCGCAAACCCATTACGTTGGTTTTGTCATGGCACGGCTCATTTATATGGATGTTGTTGGCAAGAGTGAGATACATGATTTGACATTACATAAATCTATATAGCAGATTAACATTTGACTCGAGAATGAATACAATTCAAGTGTGTCAAAAATTAGACAGTTTACAACAAAGTGAATCACCAACAACCAAACATAATAAGCAGTATAAGGTAAGTACTGTGAATTCACTCAATTTCATGGGCCAGAAATATTAAGGTTTTGTCCAATAAGGAATATTTCATGATTCATTAAATTCTTGGTAGTCTGTGCACACAAAAAAGTATAATGCCAAAAAATGCGATTCAAAATAATCTTTATGCAGACAAAATAAAACTTTGTTGGATTTTAAATTTGTGGACTGATCAATCTACAAAAATAAGTGGACCGCAAATTATGATGATGGGTATTATTATTTATAATGTATTTTAGGGATTTCAATTTTTCCACTTATATATCATTTTCCTTCCATCAGAAAAACTTAAATGAATAAGCAAATGACATTGTATTACCCCCAAGTTTTTTTTTCTCACACTCATTTCATCACTCACATGGCAACCAATGTGCATCCTCTCATTAAATAGTCTATACATTAATACACATGACAATATTGACAACCATATATACAACAGCAATTTTGATGACCATACATGTATATATATAGCAGCAGTTTTCACAATTTACGCTTACTTATCAAGTGTGATTTTAGAAAAAGCCCATTCACAATATGGTACTTTTACGTCAATGTGTCATGCATCTGCTACTCTTATAATGTTCAGTTGTAATTATCCTTAAATAAGACAGATTCCATTATGATTTATGACTTAACAATTATTACATCTTTTGGTAATTGGTTTGTGGATGTTTAGGTAATTACTTTAAGCTCAAGACATTGTATAATTTTCCACAGACAAGGTGGCATTCCCTCCAGCAGTACCCTATTCTGTGGCAGAAAGAAAAAGGCCATTGGAAAAACTTGAAATATGATAAATTCTGTTTATAACCACAGCATTTTTCTGGCGGTACTCCAGTATTAAACATATATTGGGATTTCTAAGATAATCGATAATTTGGGGGGAGGGGGGGTACAAACAAATTTTTTACAGTTACAGCTTCAAAATTAAGCACAACATGTTGATATTAAATTTATTTTGAAGGGTAGTGCATCATGAAAATAGTGCATCATGAAAATATATTGTAATGGTAAAAGTTCAAATGCACCGAGGTAATTAGCTTGGAAAAACCCTGATTTGCCACATGCCAGATTACAACTATTGTCTTGACAGAAAACTTTATTACGTCAATATATTCATTTTGAGGTACACCTTAAGTACTGGTCAGCTAAAATAACAATGCAGTAATAACAAAGAATTAAATACTTAACATGAAAAAAATTAATCACCATTTGCAGGGTGTGAATCTTCATGTGGTTTACAGTATGTAAAAGCACTTCCACAGGGTAGTATATTGAGCCTCGAACCATCCTTGTATCTTACTTCAACAGCATCATTTGTATATAATACCATTAGCTGAGGTCGTGCTGGCATTTTTACACGTCTACCAAATTACAGTGTCAGTAAAAAAAAGACTGAAAATATAATTTAAAGTGTGGTGTTAATGAAAAAACTAACAAATTATTATAATTTATACATGTATAACAATTTACTTGAGTACAAAATATCAAATACTAGTCAAGAGAAATAAATTCAAAATATCAATTGAGTTACAGACATTAACTTACTTTTTTTTAAAGTGAAATAAAAGTAGCTCCAATAGGACCCAAAGCCAAAAATTATTTGAATTTCTTACAAATATCAGCATGAACACTTAAAACAGAAAACTGTGCATAAACTAATAAAGGAAAATACTCAAAACCAGGTTGAAATTGGTATTTTTGCACTATTTTAGCCCAATTTCAGTGACAGACATTGCAACAACTTTTCAATTTGGGTCATTTCCCGCATTTAGAATAATCATTCTGGAAAAATGTTATTGGTCTAGACTTAAATCAAATGGAACATCAATCTCAAAAAAATATTTCCAGTCTTGTCATGTCAAGAAACTTCAGTGGAGCCTCTACCAAGCAAAATTTTGACCAGCTGAAGTTCTTCAGGGTACCCGTCTAGACGATCAGATGAAAAAAAAAACATCAACAAGATATGTTTGTAAAACATGTATGCCCCCTATCAGCAGCCAATTATTCATGTGATAAGGTAATTATGCATGACTTTTGACCCAGTGATCAAACAATTAATAAGGGTTATCAAGTATCTACTGGTCATGACCTTGACCTTTGACCCCTTGACCCAAAACTCAATAGGGTCATCTACTGATCATGACCAATCACCATACCAAGTTTGAAGTTCCTAGGCCTTAAGGTTCTTTAGTTATTGATCGGAAACCGTTTTTGCTTACAAGGTCAATGTGACCTTGACCTTTGACCCCTTGACCCCAAAATCAAAAGGGGTCATCTACTTGTCATGACCAATCACCATACCAAGTTTGAAGTTCCTAGGCCTAAGGGTTCTTTAGTTATCACTCGGAAACCATTTGGTCTACGGACCGACGGACCGACAGACCGACGGACCGACAAGTGCAAAGCAATATACCCCCTTTTCTTCGAAATGGGGGCATAACAAATAAATGCTGCTGTACCTAATATCTAGTCAAAAGATATTGATGTGCCAAAGCTAGATTCTGAGATGTTTTTGTTCTGGGTCAGAATCTCACTAGATATTGCCCATACACAAAATATCACAATATCTCTGACATCCCGTAGTATACTCAGTTCGTATGATATCATGGGTTCTATGATATCATGGTATTTACATTTTCTGTGACTGCAAGTGAAAGCAACACATGTTGATGATACTTTTCTTAAAACTGTGACACTGGTCTAAATGGCATAGCATCTGCCAATGAATTTAATTTTGTGAATAATGAATACATTCCTCGTGAAAAAAACTATTTATTTGACTACTATTTCCTTTAATTGTTTTTACACAGTCAATTGAAATATATTATTATCCAATATTCTAGCATATTGACTGTTCATATAACTTGAATTTTATAGTATGTTAGCTGTTGAAAGATTTTCACAACTTAATTTGAAGATTATGACACGTGTATCCTTCCACACATGCATTTTTGGGGATTACCGTGATACCTTAGTAACCTTCTCTGAAATTACCAAAATTGGCAGACAACAGAAATTGTTTAAAAAATGACATTTAAATTGGATCTTCAGAAATAAATTTTTGACAGTCTTGGAAAAGTGTCACTTACTAAATAGAACAAAAATCTCATTCATGTATGATTTTTATATTCAGATATTTTCTGGTAAATGTTATGTACCCTCAAAAATCATAAAACCCCGGGCTACCATCAATTGGACTACTAATATCGTGCTAAACAGCTAAATCTGTAAATTGTGCCTAATTTATTATACTTCGAGTCCTTGGATGTTCACTTACAAGCGAAAAATAACGGTTGTGTTAGAATCAGTAATTTTTGGAGAGAAAAGAGAATTTTATACATGGGCAGCATGGCGCTAAATATAAGATGGAGAAGAGACTGTGATGTCACACAGATAAAATCAGTATAGGCAGAATTGTGTTCACACAAGTTATCATATGTCACGAGATTTTGCGAGATTTGATGCATCCTGAGTAAAAGTAGCCAAATTACTGCCATATTGAATTCCCGGAGGTACATCAACAAACAAGAGCTGTCCGTAAGACAGCGCGCTCGACATTTTTATTGCTTGCCAATAAAAAAAGTTTTTGCAGTAAAAGGCAATACAAGAATCTCTGTATTTTTAAAGTGAACAATGGCCATGAGCATTAAGATATTTAGTGAAGAATTATTTTATTATGACATAATTTATGGTAAAGTGAACAAGTGGATAGGAATGAATTTTTTTAGATTTTTTAAGTTTTTTAGTGCTTGCCTATAATACAAAACATTGACAGTTAAGGGCCATAATTCAAATAAAATCTTTGACAGAATTACCTTCTCCTGGACATGTTTGGGAATCATGATTGTAAACAAGTATTCCAACTTTCAAATTAATATCTCAAACAGTTCAGTCAAAAAGTGGACTGGTACTAAAAACTTAACCAAGATTCTAAGTCGATAAAAGGCCTTAATTTTTAAAAACAAATCCTTGACAGAGTTACCTTCTCTTGCGTACAGATGGGGGTAATGATGTGAAATAGCATTAAAAGTTTCAAAGCAATATCTCAAAGGGTTAAGGCAATAAGTGGATTTTACCCATATTCAATGTATTTCTAAGTCAAAAAGGGGCATAATTCTGTCAAAAACCTTGACAGAGTTATGTCCTCTTGTCTGTTGATGAAGGTCGTGATGGTAAACAAGTATGGTCAGTTTCAAAGCAATACCTCCAATGGTTTTGAAATAAAGTGAGGTGGTACAAAAAACTTAACCAAGCTCAATACACTTTCTAAGTCAAAAAAGGGCCATAATTCTGTCAAAAACCTTGACAGAGTTATGTACTCTTGTCTGTAGATGGAGGTTATGATGGTGAACAAGTATGGTAAGTTTCAAAGCCATACTTGTAATACTTCTGAAATAAAGTGGGGTGGTACGAAAAACTTAACCAAGGAAGGTGTGACGCCAACGCCGACGCCGACGCCGACGCCGGGGCGAGTAGGATAGCTCCCCTTTTCATAGAAAAGTCGAGCTAAAAAGACTAAACATTTTTTTCTTATATAAGAAGTAATAGTTATTTATTCTAAAACGTACAAAACACGTACAAAACACACTTTTCCTCACAAATATTTCTCCGATGAAAATCCATGTCTAATTCACAGATATCGCCGAACTTTAAGCGTTAAAATCGGAGACTAGCGGGAAAGCCCGATTATCACCGAAGCACGCAAAGGATTGTAGGTCTGATTCGGACTCTCGTCTATTTTCAGAGTTTCCTATCCTTTGTTCATATATCTGTGATGGGCAGGTATGATGTTAAATATACTATAAAAGGCAACCGGAGTGGGGTCATCATTAGTCAAAATATATTGACGTGCCAAAGCTTGATTCTGAGATATTTTCGTTCTGGGGCAGAATCTCGCTTTGTAGAGGCGAGATATTGCCCAAACACCAAAATAGCACAATATCTCGTCGCGCAGTACAATTACTAGTTGGACTAGGGTCATCATTAGCAGACAACAATTAGGTATACAAAAGTAGGAATTACAGTCAACCCGGCCCCAAGTTAACCCGGCCCCAAGTCAACCCGGCCTCAAAATTGGTCAACCCGGCCCCAAAATTGGTCAATCCGGCCCCACAGTATTTTTATTTGGTCAATGCAGCCCCAAAATTGGTCAGTGCGGCCCCAAAATCGGTCATTCCGGCCCCAAAATATGTAATTTTCAAAGAAAACTATTCAGGTCATTTTGTTGTATAATGGAATAAAATTATTAATTGAGTATTATTAACTATAGAACAAAAGTTAAAAAACGCGAACTGGCATAAAAGTGTCGGTAAATTTAATTGCGCCGATTAAGACTTTAATACGCAATAGTGATAATGAATAATTATATTACATAAACAATTATATGTAACTCAACATTATTTCAGATGTGATAATCAAACAGTTTAAAGCAATCAATTAACAAAAAAGGTATAGCTGTGAAAACAAATCCTTTAAATTCGATGTAAATTAAAGATGGTTTCATAAGTGTTAATGCGATAATTAGAAAGAAATGCATAGAATTTTGAGTTAAAAGGTTTGCATAAATTAAGTTTACAACATTTTTTTTTCAGTTCATTTGAATGTTTTTATTGAATACGTTCATCAGTATAATTAATATTTGTTTCGTATTTTATAAACTTATTAACAAAGAATATTTACTGTGTAAAAAGCATTGGAATATCAATAAGTGTTTGAGAAATTGATAGTGTTTTGTGTTAAATCATTTTATGTCATTATGACAGATAACTGTATTGATTGTGGATATATTGTGCGTGACAGACAGGAGGCAGTGACTTGCGATACATTTATAATTAATCTTACTTAAAAACTGTTAAAGGAAACACTTTGGTGTGCTTTTGGTCATTTCTTTTTTTTTAACATACAATAACATAGTAATGATTAGAACACATGATTTGTCAATAAAAAAGTTTAGTTTTTTCTTAATACTTCTATCGTTACGGTAGAGAGGTTAAGGTTGAAGACAGACTTCACCTTATTTTCGCGACGGTAAAAACAGTAAACTATGCATGTATTGCTTGTTTGTTAATATTGATAGTTTTTATATAAAATAAATAATAAAAGATATCATCATTAAACTTTTGTTGTTGTTTTTGTTGTTAATTTTTATTTATTTCTTGATAAGTGTTTATATTCTAAAGCAAAATAAAAAATAAATAAATAAAAAATGGGGCCGGGTTGACCAGAAATAATATTGGTTTGGGGCCGGGTTGACCAATTTGGGGCCGGGCTGACTTGAGGCCGGGTTGACTTGTACCGCAAAAGTAGTACTAGAATATACAAATTGAAAGTTTATTATTTCAGCTTATTGCCTTTTAATCGTACATGAAATGCATTACATAGCAATCTTTGAACATTTGTAAGAACATTATTTTTTAATGGTTCGAAAATTATTGTGTACGAAAATAAAGTAAACAAACCTTAAAAAAAAACACAACAGAAAGATACAACAAAAGTCTATACCTACGAATGATTCAATGAATTTTCTTTCTGTATACCTTCAGTATAAAATGGTTGAATGCAGACTGATTTAAAACAGTTGCATTATTAAGACGAAATGAGTTTTCAAAATGTAGCGCTCATGTCAAAACAAGATTTAAGTCCAACAGAATTAATTCCCTTGGCAAGATACTCTTCTCAAAGAAGAACTTTCACAAAATGAAAACTTTTTAATTTTATTTTGAGCAGAAGCAATAGCCGGAATATTTGAGTTTTAAAAGAGAGAATTTAAACAAGTAAATATGAATTTTCCGTCAAAGTCAAATACGCTATAAAACAAAATCATAGGCCTATCTGTCAATTGTAATAAACAAGACTCCTCACCCTGCTCATAGCACAGGAGCTTGAAATTCTATCAATAATCGCTAAAAAGTCCGATTTAAAAAAAAAATCCATACCTATATATGAAAAAAAACACACATGTTTGATATAATTTCAAGCTCCTGTGCTCATAGTCATAATGCAAAACACCACAAAGTACTAAAAAGTCCAATATATCAGACGTTACAGGCTTGTTATTGTTTGTAATTAAATGTATCTCGGATTATTCATTTGGGCCAGATTATGTGCACTCTTGCTGGTCCAATGGTAGAGCCCACATCAACAGGGACTTTTCATGCAGACTCTTCCTTGACCAATTGACAATTCATCGTTAAGTTTGTTGGAGGTCAATTAATTACGGAAAAGTTCTAGCCGTACGTGATTTTAATCAAATCTCCGCATTTAATGTCCTAGTGTGTTCACTTTAATAAAGATGCTCCGCAATTTTGCATACACAAAAAATGAATACGAGTAAGCGTTGTATAATCTATCTTAATAACATTAAGTGTCAAAGTTGCATGTTATAACGTCCTTAATTTTCATGCTTATGATTTGTATGAAAGATGAATTGTTAAATCTGTTAATTAAGCACATGGATCGAATAAATAATGATCGGAGGGGAATAAATAAATAAATAAAAAGAGTATTAAAAAAAAACGGTGAAAAGGAAAAATAATTTAATAATGCAAACTTTCCTAATGATGGACGATGGACAAACTTGTATACCTTCGGTAATTGACGCAATTATCAGAGCCCGACAACAATTATTTTCGGTGTTTTTTTTTGTTTTGTTTTTTTCAATTTAAAAATTAAACTTAATGAAACAAAAAAGGATTATTATCAAAATTTTGTAAACTATTTCAATTGATGTTATTTAACTGCAACCGAACGCTATTGTTCTCGACGTCTTGAGATGACAAAGTACGTACATTCTTTACTGTAGCCAACACGTCGATTAATCTCTAAAAAGTAAACATTCTTGACTAAAATCCTCGCTTAAAGTGATAATTAACATATGCACTTTCGACTTCCATATATTTTTGAAAAGTGCCGTACGGCTAGCCAATACAGTGTGTCCTGGCTAGTCGTACGTGACTCACGTACGGCTAGAACTTTTGGCTAGCCGTACGGGCCCGTACGGCTAGCAACTTCCATTAATTACTGTGACCAGAAAGATTCCCAAATGTTCTTGAACAAGAATGACGAACATGAACCTTATCATTTATACAGTATATAAAATAGCTCACAAAAGTATAGAAATAGATATTTCAAACTATATAACTTACAAGTTACATGTACATTTATGATGGTTAATATTTGCTGGGTAAAATTTAACATTAGATTTATTGTAAATAATTTAGCCACCATGATGGCCAAAATACCGTATATGAATACAAAAGTGTTTTTTCTTCAATTTCTAACCTTTTTTTTATATAAAAATATTTTTGTCACTAATAAACACTGATAAAAGCCTGAAAAGCAGTGATTTTTCTACTTATATAACAGACTCCAAAAAAAGGCCTCTTCCCAATTGAAATTTTCTTCAAAATCATGCAGTTTTCCCAAAAATCTGAACTTAAACCAGCTTTTTCACTTCCCAAATCAGCAATTTTAGCGATAATTTTTCCCAAAATCAAGAGGCTAAGGCCTTTTCCCAATTAAGTGAGAAAAATCACTGAAAAGGAACATTGTTTTAACATAGATGACATTTTAAATTTGCTAAGTAATTTAGTTATTGTGACTTGCTATACTGTAAAATTTAATTTATATTTGTGAATAAGAACGAGGATACTGTATATGAATATTAAATAGATATAAATGAACTTTGTCGGAAATAGTTTCGTAAACAAAGACTATTATTATTTACTTGCAACATGTCATTGAATGAAATTAAATGAATTTAATGCATTGGTTTCAAATTATTGTGACCAGAAAGATACCAGAATGTCAAGAATACCAAATATGAACATTATTTTGATACCGTACACATATTAAAAATACAATACTTATAAAATACTATTTATACTTTATATTTTCAAGTAACAAATATTCACTAAGGTATGTTAATTATAGTGTGAATATTTGACCCTATGCCAAAATTTTATGAAAATAATATTCATATTCGGTATTAGGGCTGTCATTGAATATCATCGATATTCGTCACTCGATATTGATACACACTTTTAAATATTGATACAAGCTAAAATTTATTTATTTCTGTTAGTGAATATACCTTGCTATTTGCCTAATAAGACAAATCACTTTTTTCCATTTTTCTAAAGCCCCAGTCACATTAGAGCTTTAAATAATACGACCACTTAAGACCAGTTGACGATCACCAGTGACCTCTGGTTGGGGACAATCTTTAAAACGTCTTACGACTGTCATTTGTGATCTTTGACAGTCACAGGTTATCTTATTTAGGTCACAGAGAGGTTTTTTTGGAGCTTGCACAAAAACCTATCTGCGATCAAACAGGTAGCTAGTGATCTTATAAGGTCTTAGATTGTCGCACGATCGTCGTTCGAAAGTCTCTAATAATCTTCAACTAGTCACCGCCGATGTCTATGTCACTCGGTCGCAGGTAGTCTTTCCAAAGTCGTAAGAGCATTGTGCGATTAGTGGCGACCTGTCTTGCAATCACCCACGATTACAAATGACAACTAGCGACTTCATTACGATAAGTAGCAACCGTCGTACCATCTTTAGTAACTAGTTTAAGATTTCCTATGACCAGGCACAGACCACATGATCTAACATTATATAAAGCAGGCATTTTTAGGTTCATTCCTCATGCATAATTATGCACTTTTTCTTCCGTTACACCGGTATCACCGTTATGCCACCCAAAAAGTCAAAGTGTAATGGAAAAGTCAAGAAAAGGACCAAACACTTCTCTGACTCTGAGACTGATACTGAAGAGCAAGTTGTAGGCCAGCATGAAAATGCATTACCTCAAGACGTCCCTGCCCAAAACGAGGCTCAGCCTATTCGGCAGGTCCAGGAGCTAGTAGTTCCATCGGGTAGAACATGTCTGTGCCACATCACGCCATGCATCTTCTGTTGTAGGAAATGTCACAGCCATATCACCATATTCAGCAAGACTAGCCTCATAGACATCTTAAACGAACATCAATATGGTGTTGTGGGGTACCCCGAGGCAAGGTGTCGAAGCGTGATGGCCAGACCAGGCTCCAGCGGTTTCCTTAACCGAGTTGTTTGTTTGGTAATAATAATTATAATAATAATAATAAAGTCTTTATTTAAAGACGCTACACAGTTGCAACAAAGGCAATCTGCCCTCATAAAATGTACATATTTACAATCATACAGTTGTGAATAACATGAAATATTATGCAGAAACATTAACATAATTATTTTGATATTGCAAATAGAAAATAATGATAATAATTATATAAAGTGCACAAAAAATATACAGTGAAAGAAGGCATTTCAAAATTACAAAATTTAATAAACCTTTGACAATAACAATATTTCAACTAGAGCAGTGTTTTTCTTATAATTTTTTATAATATTTGATTTGTTTTTTTCCAATTTTCTATATATTTAAGTTTAAAGTTTTGAAGTGATTGTGCAGAGCGTATGCTGATTGGTATTTCATTCCAGATTTTTGACCCTGAATAGTTAAAACTTTTCTGAAAAATTCTACTTTTGGTTTTGGTTGATATATGTTAAGTTTTGAATCTGTTGAACGTAGGGTGGTGCAAGAATGAATAGTATGGTTGAAGGTAAATTTTTGTTTTAAGTACTGTGGGTAAATGTTGTTAATTGACTTATATACCATAATTGCTTGTTTATATTTGACTCGGTCTGGGAATTTCATCCAGTTTAATAAAATGAATAGATCATCAGACAGGGCATCATATGGTTGATCTAGTATAATCCTAGCTGCTCGTTTTTGAAATCAAACTATGGATTGTATTTGCTCCAAATTACAATTTCTCCAGAAAGAGCAACAATAGTCTAAGTGAGGTAGTTATAATGTAGGAGTTAAAAAATAGTTTTCTAATGGGAATGTTTATAAAATATTTAATTCTTTGCAGTAGGTACAATTTAGAATTGCACTTTTTTTAACACATGATTAATATGGTTTTTCAAATATAATTTCCTGTCAACATGGACACCGAGAAGTTTCTCAGAGTTGGAACATTCTATTAAATTATAGTCTAAATGTAGCAATTTTTGTTTAAATAATTTGGAGTCTGTTTTGTTTGATGGACAAATTGCCATCGCCTTTGATTTCTTTGCATTTAGTGACATAGAGTTCATTTGGCACCAAAAATTTACATTATCTAATGCAGTCTTTTTCAGGTTTTTGTTAATCGCAAAAATGTCGTGCAACAATCTTACACAAATTGCCACTTGTCACTGATAGTCTTGAGTGGTTTTTAGTAATTTTGCGATGGTCGTACAACAAGTTGTAGGTGATAGCCTGACTGGTCACGGGTAGTTGTAAATAATCCCAGACATTCTTGAGACCATCGTACGTTTGCTGATGACCTGTCGGGTGATTGTCAATGACTGGTCGTATGATAATCGCGGAAGTAAATTTATCTGTGCAAAGAGGGTTTGGTCTCAGACAATCGCGGACGATCATCGTTTTTACACGTCGCTGATAGTCGCAAGCAATCGTAAGCTCTAGTGTGTCTGGGGTTTTAGCTAACTTGAACTTTAAACTCCGTTTTCAAATATCACTGACAAAAATAACAGAAAAAATAAACTTCTTGTTAGTTTATATTAGGGCTGTTATTGAATATCGCAATATCGATATATCATCCATATTTTTCTTCTGATACAATATCGATACACACTTTCAAATATGGATACAAGCTAAAATTTATTTATTTCTGTTAGTGAATATACCTGCCTTATATGAAAAGTAATTTTTTCCAGTTTTCTTGGCTAACTTGAACTTTAAACTCTGTGGGATAGTAGTTTCAAATTTACTATGTAGTTTCTGTGAAAAGAGTATCTTTCACTCTTACAAGACAATTTATAGTTTCCAGAATTGTTGTAATAGACCTATAATTTATTTTGTAAATCATTTTTATACATGTACAAGTAAGTTTCCTTTTTTTGTGTTATACAGATGCTATAAAAATGGGATAGAAAGAAATTTGACACAATGGATCTTAAGAATTGGGTACAGGTGTTTGTCTTTCTTCAAGTTATGATAGGTATGTACAACCTAAAAGTTAAAATTATCTGTTGTTTTGAAAAAATAATCAAGCAGCACCCAAGTGATTTGCCTTTTATTATTACATCTCAGTGATTCTTATTCCTGTATTATACAGCTGAATAAAGGCTGTTTCCCTTAGCCCAAAAAAGGTATATTTTCCCCTAAAAATGCTAGTATTTTCCCCTGAAATGCCCTGTGTACTTCTTCACCAGAACCATTACTTTACAGCATCTGACTTTTCTATCCCTATACATGGCCTCTGCTATGTACCATACATGTTAACTTTAATTGAAATTGAAAATTTAATAAAATATGTGGATAAATTTTATTCTCCGTTGTTGGAATTTGATTTCAGATTTTCCCCCTTTTTAGCTCGACTATTCGAAGAATATGAGAGCTATTGTAGTCGCCCCGGCGTCGGCGTCAGCGTCAGCGTCCGCGTCGGCGTCTGCGTTGGTTAAAGTTTTTTGTAAAGTCAAATATCTCAATTATTACTTGAGATATTCAATTGAAACTTACAATACTTATTTATAGTAACAAGGTACATCAGATTGACAAGTTGGATAACTCTGCCTACAATATTGACAGAATTATGCCCCTTTTTAACTTAGAAATTTTGGTTAAAGTTTTTTGTAAAGTCAAATATCTCAATTATTGCTTGAGATATTCAATTGAAACTTACAATACTTATTTATAGTAACAAGGTACATCAGATTGACAAGTTGGATAACTCTGCCTACAATATTGACAGAATAATGCCCCTTTTTAACTTAGAAATTTTGGTTAAAGTTTTTTGTAAAGTCAAATATCTCAATTATTGCTTGAGGTAATCAATTGAAATTTAAAATACTTATTTATAGTAACAATGTACATCAGTTTGCAAAATTGCATAACTCTGTCTGCAATATTTGCAGAATTATTTGCCCCTTTGAAACTTAAAAATTTTGGTTAAAGGTTAACGGTCTTCAAATATATTTACTTGAAACTTTACACATGCACTTAGGGTCATAATTGGAGGGTCATAATTATATGTCACTGACCAAGTTCCATAACTCTATCTTGCATTAAGGCTGATTCATATCCCCTTTTCTACTTAGTTTCTTGGTTAATGTTTACATGCAAGTTTTACATATCTCAATAACTATTAAAGATATTTATTTAAAACTTCACATATGCATTTAGGGTCATAATTGTAGTTCAAATAATTCTATCTTGCATTTAGGCTGATTTTTCTCCCCTTTTTCAACTTAGAAATTCATGGTAAAGTTTTGCTTGTAAGCTGTTATCTTAAAAACTACTGAAGGGTTTGTGCCTTTTTTGGGACAATTTTATGCATTCATAATAATAAAGTAGTGATTTACTTGATAAAACATCTTAATAACAATCCTTTGTTCCTTTTCTGTCAAATTTATGTATTCATAGGTAATTAGTATTATACTCAATAAAAAACCCTTGTGACATTACCTTCCTAATAGTCAAGCCAATTCTGTATAATTAGACTCTCTCTAAGGCCTATAACATGAATTTATAAAAAAAAATAGCCCTTTTGTGAACTTAAAAAATTTAACAATTATAAGGCTCTTTTACTATCAAGCACTTAGAATAGTTGAGCGTGCTGTCCTACAGACAGCTCTTGTATGATTTATTGCATCAATGCATCTGTTGATATGATATTATGTGATGTTACTGTTTTAATATATCAATTTATATAAATATAGTAAAGACAAGTTGTTTATTATCAAAATAATGAACCTTGTACTTTTGTTATTTGTTAAACGATTTGGATTTGGAGGCATTATAACTGATCAATTAACATATTTTTTGTAATACTTTTTCTTCGAATTTGTAGGAATTGTTGGTCAGAATGAGATATGTACATTCTATGGTCTAGAGGCAAACTGCAGGTATCGTATTGATGCTATCTCCCTGTCACATATCAGGGTGGAGATCAATCAATGTGCCGACCCTGTTGAAGTCACTTTCTACATCAAAGTTAGTATCAGCTACATTACGGTGCATATCCATAATGGTACCCTCTTTGGGAAATCTACTTAAACAGTACACTCTGTGCAAATGCACAGGTCGGTCATTCTTTGCTGAAAACAAGTAGGCGACATACACCAGTTTAGTAAATGTTCATTCTACTGATAAAAGGCGGTATGTCAAGTGAAGAAGTATACTATGGAACACTAGAATGTTTTTACTATGTCTTACCTTGTACCGATATGAATAAGCACCGTGTACATGTATTAAAGTGGCATTATGCTCATTATTTAATCGTTGTCAAGTTGACCTTAATTGACAATATATTTCCAAAGATAGACTAATCTCTATTATAAATGGTGATTGACCAATAATTGAAAATGGTAAATGATTAATAGGATTAAATATAAAAAGATATGAAAAATCTGCCCCACACTTTATCAAGTAAATGTTACTGATGAATTGCAAAGAATATTTTTAAAAATTTCTGTTTGTAATGTGAATTTTGTTTCTTATCTTTGAAGCAGAATATAAAATAGAAAACATTTATGGCAAAATGTTAGTTATTCTGACTTTTACCTGTACACTTGAAATTTAGACTTCACTTGGATTGGCATAATGTCACTTTAAATAAATAGTAAACATCACTTATTGAAAGAATATATTTTTTTTTTAACTGGTGGAACTTTGATATTATCATTTGATTAGCAACTTTATGGGCCAATTAGCCTGGCAAGGGGAGCTTTGCATTCACATGTTGGTCACAAAAATGCCATGTGAAATACTTTGCTTTGCATACATTTTCTGTAACAATTTAGATGAATACAAGGCAATAAAGAACATAACTCTAACCAGGCCTAAAACAAAATATTGTTTGTTTCCCCTCCTGCTACCTACCCACAAAACTCAGAGCTACCCAAAAAGTTTTACTGCCAAACAAAAAGATTTTTTTTTACTAGATATTAAAGCAGAGTCTATTAATAAGAATCACATCTCATATCTGTCTCATGTTTCAGCTCTGTGAATACAAAAACTGTGATATATGTTAAATAAAACTTTGAAACTTAAGATATAAACTTCAAACACATGCTTATAATAATTATTCACAATTTATTTTGAAATTCATTTGATATTAGATAGAAAAAAACATTATGGTGTAAAGAAAAACATTTCCTACCTACCTACCCAAGTTAACCCAACCCAAACTGCCTTGGGTCGCAAGTTATTTCAAGTTAGGCCCCAAGCGTTATATAAAGAAGCTTGCAGTGACTTGGTGCTGAAGCCAAGAATGTTGCTAAATTAGTTACTAGCAAATATAATACTTGCTCTGATATAGATTTGGAATTATTCATTGGTGATTTCAATATCAAAATATATTCAAAGATTTTTTCAATACATCTTTGAATTGTACTATGAATTTAGGATACAAAAGGTTTATAATGATTAGACTTGATGATGGTGTTAAGTTTTAGATTGCAACCGCCTCCGTGGTCAAGGGGTTAGAGTCGATGACTTCTAATCAAGTTACCTCTCTGGAGTGGGTTTGATCCCGGGGAGATGCTTTGGTAGTTTAGCACGGAGGAAGGTAGTCTATTACTGGTGTAACTCTCCAGGAACGATGGTTAGGAAACTACCCACCTATATGACTGAAATTCTGTTTGGAAAAGGCGTAAAATGAAACAAACAAACAAACAAGTTTTAGATTGTTCTGTGTTTATGTTCAATAGTTTTCTATAATCTATTTTCAGAATGAGAGGCCTTATGTAGATTTCAGTCACACATTTAACAGAGCTGATACTCTGGTATCCGTGCCAAGATTCATGGTACGTACACAGCTCCGAGTTAGACTGACAAAGAAGAAAGATGATGTCATTAATATTGAGGTATGTTTCACTTATTAATGCAAAATCATTATTATTCGTGGTGCACTAATTTTTGTAGTATTCGTGAATAAGTCAATCCTCGAATTTAAGATCAAATGAAATTTCATTTTCGACTGCTGTAAGATTATTTTGCATTACATTATTTACATTTTACTTTTTGGGAAAATAAACAATCCACGAATTTAAGTACCCAAGAAAATGTTCTTGATGACATTAACATGAAATTTCATTCCTGCGCACAAAATTAAATGAATTCACTGTAACTTACCTTAATAAAACTGCTGAAATAAGCCTCAGACAGTAACAGTTAGTTTGAGATACTAATTCATTATAATTTAACATTGTTCAGAGGTGTTACCTCTGCTTATTTTCATAGAGTAAAGGACAGAGAAATCAAAAGTGTATGAATAGGTATGAATTATCGGTGTTGTTATTTCAAAATTACATGTATGACATTTCAACTTAAAGGTAACATTTGACATTCACAATATGTTATATATTTACATTAATTTAACAATATAGACAATGAGAAAGATAGGAGCAAAATGGTTTAATTTCCTTTATTTCATTTTAGTTCTCACAGATTCTCACCAAACCCAAATCAAAATATGAAAAGTTTTATCAAATACATTTCAGGCAGATTTCTTTGTATATGGACAGGAAAGGGCAGACTTTATTAATGATGATGTTAAACTTAGAGGACTAGAGGATCATTGTCCCTTGTGTAAGCTATTTTTGTTGTTGTATTTTAGCTCACCTGTCACTTTGTGACAGGGTGAGCTTTTGTGATCGCTTTTCATCCAGGGTCCGGCCGTCATCCATTCGTCATCCGTCTGTAAACCTTTTACTTTAAATGACATCTCCTCATAAACCACTAAGCCAATTTCATCCAAACTTCACAAGAATGTTCCTTTGGTGGTCACCTTTAAAAATTGTTCAAAGAATTTAATTCCATGCAGAATTCTGGTTGCCATGGCAACCGAAAGAAAAAACTTTAAATATCTTCTTTTAAAAAACCCAAAGATCTAAAGCTTAGATATTTAGCTTGAAACATTTTCTAATGAGTGTCTACCAAGTTTGTTCAGATAAAAGCCCTGGGGTCAAAATTGGCCCCGCCCCGGGGGTCATTGATTTTCCTAATATGCATATAGTAAAAACTTAAAAAAATTTCTTTGAAAAAAAACAAATAGCTAGATTTTAGATATTAAGCATGAAACATCTTCTAGTAAGTTTGTTCAAATAAAAGCCCTGAGGTAAAAACTGGCCCCGCCCCAGGGGTGTCATTGATTTTAACTATATGTGTACAGTAAACTTAAAAAATCTTCTTTTAAAAACCCAATGAGCTAGAGCTTAGATGTTTAGCATGAAACATCTTCTTATGGGTGTCTACCAAGTTTGTTCAAATAAAAGCCCTTGTGTTAAAATTGGCCCTGCCGGGGTGGGGAAGGTGCGGTTGGGGCAAGATCATTGTTTTTCATTATATGTGTGTAGTAAAAACTTAACATCATGAAACATCTTCTAATGGGTGTCTTCCAAGTTTGTTCAAATAAAAGCCCTGGGGTTTAAACTAGCCCCTCTCCGGGGGGCCTATATACAGGTGAGCGACCTCAGGGCCTTCATGGCCCTCTTGTTTTGTATTTATTTTCAACCGCTTAAAGGCACTTTATGCCTCAGAAATCCATTAAATTCTTTAGAAATGTCAAACATGTGTTTAATAAGTTTTAGTAATGGATTTAGAGTATGTTAGATGTTTTACAGTGAAAGAAAGTAGCGCTGAATGTTCAGTTATGTGTCATAAAGGTAGCAAAATGTAAACAAAATAGTATTTTGACTTCCATACAAAGTACTAAATTCATTATAACTATACCAGCTGCCAACAAAGCAAAAGAAGAAAAAATAGTTCATCAATATGTAACAATACAAACAATTTAAAGTTGCTCCAGCTCAGACATCAGAATTTTTTAGATTTATGCTCCTTTATCACTTGAAAAACAGGATGTGTTGAATATTTTTATGTGTTCTTGAACATTAACAAAGTTGTTCATCTTATTTATAAGATTTAAAAAAGGAGACTTCATGAGGTAATCTTTTTCTAGGTCACTTTATGTGGTACCGGTAATCTTTTTAGCTCACCTGTCACAAAGTGACAGGATGAGCTTTTGTGATCGCTTTTCGACCGGCGTCCGTCTGTCCGGCGTCCGCCTGTAAACTTTTACTTTAAATGACATCTCCTCATAAACCACTAGGCCAATTTCATCCAAACTTCACAGGAATGTTCCTTTGGTGGTCACCTTTAAAAAATGTTCAAAGAATTTCATTCCATGCAGAACTTTAAATATCTTCTTTTAAAAAACCCAAAGAGCTAGAGCTTAGATATTTGGCATGAAACATCTTCTAGTGAGTGTCTACCAAGTTTGTTCAAATAAAAGCCCTGGGGTCATTGTATTTAACTATATGTGTATAGTAAAAACTTAAAAAAATCTTCTTTTAAAAATCCCAATGAGCTAGAGCTTAGATGTTTAGCATGAAACATCTTTTTATGTGTGTGTGTGTGGGGGGGGGGGGGCTATATACAGGTGAGCGACCTCAGGGCCATCATGGCCCTCTTGTTTGAGCTTTACTGATCACCTGACCATTTGCATTGTTTTTGCTTTTATGTCACAAAAAATATTGACATGCTGATAAGAGGTTTATAAATCTCATTCAGGAGAAGTGCAGTACACCAAGAACAATTTAAATTCACTTTTATAACTGTTGAGTTATTGCAATTTTAATGAAAAGTTTACGTTAAGAACTAAAGAACAATTCTTGATATATTTCTAATAATTTCAATAGGCACACCATTTTCAAAATGTGAAACAGACAAGGTATATGAAGCTGAAGCTTATAACAGAATTTGTGATTATAAATATAAAAAAGATATCAGTTTACATGTATTTTTATAATGTTATTCATTTTGAAAGCCAAAATCTTGAAAATACTGGCATATTACATGTATTGTTTTGCTATAATAAGTAATGTTTACAGTTTCAGTGTGTTTACAAGTTTATTTTTATGTTTGCTAAATAAATTCCTCACAGGACTTCTTAACACACACACACACACAAATAATTTATCACTTTATCTTTTTATTTACATTTATTAATATACATTTGTAAATGCCTTACTATAAAATGTCAAAGTTAAAAGATTTTTTGTTATTTTGTGTCATGTTAAAACTATCAGTTTATATATTATTATTCTTACAGTGAATACAGCAGCAAAGATTGCTATAGGAGTGACGTGTGGACTGACAGTCTTAGTTGCCATTCTGATCTTCTCTTTGTTATATATTCGTTACAAAAGGAGAAAAAAGAGAGCAGCTTTTGCAGAGAACCAGCTTGTTAATAATGCTGCTGAGCTGGGAACCTCTACACCGGTTTCCTCATTGACAAATCTAAATGAGAGCCACATGGGAACCAGTCAAGTAGCTTCTTTAAATAGTAACAATATAAATGGTGAACAAAATGCTAGTGATAGTGCAGTTTCTGATGAAAGAAGAAGTTTAGACGATGATAGAGGAAATAATGCCAGTAGAAATTCAGTTACATCAGACAAGGACAATAATAGACCTGACATTAGATACTCAGATATATTAAAAAATGGAAATCTGAAAATTTCTGACTGTTAGATGATTATTTTAAGATCTTTTTGAAGTTTTTAGCTGTCAGTAACCTGGGACAAAATATAATGGGAAGGCAACTTAAGATAGCGTCACATTATCTTTTTCTCCAATCAGACGCACTTGCTGCCATTTTGTCATGTTTGTAATGGGAAAATTTGCAGTTTTTGTCAAGTAAATATTGTAAATAAGACAAATATAAGCCAACTGGCATTCTTTATTATTAAAATTGTTTTTAATAAAGTTTTATGTTCTTTGTCATAATAACAATATAGTTATAATGAATGAACATTTTTGGATTAGGTGCCAACATAAGTCTGCTTAACTGGTAAATAATTGCTTTTCCCGTTATATTACAGTATATGTCCCATTGTTAACTAAATACTGTTTGAACATTTTGATATGTGAACAATTATTGTTTTTAATATATAATTTTACTATTCAAGTACCATTTTCTCTGTTATTTTCATGTGCACAATTGCCTGGCTCTATACTGGGGCAAATGCTGCAGGGGCGCCAAAGTCAATTGTCTGTATTGGCCAGGTTGTCACACAGCCATTTTGGACAAGTGGATAATTTCAAGAATTTTCTGTACAAATATCATACAGACAAGTTAAGAAAAGCTTTACTGGTTGGAGACCATCAACCGGACACTTTTGGAAAAAATTTCCATACAGATTTTATAATTTTTAACCTAGAAACAAAAAAAATTGACACAGTTCAGCTAGGTTCTTCTCCTAACTAAAAAACTAGTTTGTTTATTTCTGATTGTATTGACACTTATATCTGAGGCTGATAAGGAGGGTACCAAAATTACCTAAATTGTCAACACTACAGTACCATGTGTCCGGACAGATATGTACATGATGTGATTAATTTAGATAAAAGCTTGGGTGTTTTGATTTTTGACTTTTTACATGATATAAAATATGTCAGCAACAAATGCTGAAGTTTTGGATATTCTATCATTCCCTCTGCAAATGATAATAGCTGGTATATGAGGTCAGGTATTGCTTTCTTGGCCCCCAAATTTCAACGTCAACATTCTTGAAATAGACATTAAAATATTACCATTTACAGAGGTTAAAATAAATTTATTTACTTAATTTTAAAAGAAACATGCACTTATTGTAGATAAAAAAAAGTGACTGACAACCACTGAACAAAGAAAATACTAAATTAAGCATTTTGAGTCCGTCCGGGTTTGGTGGTTGTCGGGTTTTGGTGGTCCCCAACCAGTAGATAAAAAACAGACAAGACAGACAGATTTTTGCCAGTCCTGCAGGCTTATTGCTGTTGGATTGCATCAGTTTAGGTATAGGTTAGGTTTATTCTCAGTAAAAATTTGTACTTTATTTATCATGTTTATATAATGTATTTCCAGAGAAGTACATTGATATACATGTATTTTACATTAGAACCTTTAAATATTTTTAAGTTGAGTATTTTGAAAAATGTATCGGTAAAAAATTGGTAGAACATAATTGAGGGGTAGGGGTGGGAGTTGTTGTTGTTGTTGTTTTTTTTTAGGGGGGGGGGGGGGGGGGGGGGGGGGGGGAAGGTTCTTGCCTCAAAGTAAAGTTGAAATTTAGACTTGACTTGAATTATAAAAATTAATGGTTTATGATTGACTTTTTTTTTACTAACTTAAATTTTAATGTTATTAAATCAATGCAAACCATATTGTTTTTACATTCCATGTTTATATACTAGTACATACATATATATATATAATAATAACATATCAAGTACATTGTGTGTTCAGTATTTTGTTAATGTTGTTATACCCCAGCACAACGAAGTTGTAAGGGGGATATACTGGAATCAGCTTGTTTGTGTGTCGTCCATCTGTCTGGACGTCTCTCTGCACTACCGAATAGGGATAGGGGGCCTGATAATAATCTAACTGTAAATAGATCAAAAGAGAACAATAGAGTTCATTTCGTAACAATAGAGTAAGGGGCCATTGGCCCTCTATTAACCCTTTCCCCCATGAGCATATTGTGAAAATGGCCATTTTCACTAAACATTGAAAAATGCTTCAATACTAATCAAACTTGGCACAAATGTTGACTGGACCATTGCCTTTGTAACGACATGTTCAGTCTTAAATTTCCTGTTACCATGGCAATGAGAGGACATCTCAAAATTGCCAAAAATCACTATTTTGCCTCGATTTCTTCCATCAAAATTTATTTCAAAGTGCTGCAACTTCTCAAGGGATTGAGATGGAGTCAAAGGCTTTTCCGCGTTGGTTACATGTTACCTTATGATGGACCTGGGGTCATTTTAAGCCTCTCACAAGTCCAAAATTTTCTTGGCGATGAGGGGGACTCCGTCCCCCTTCAAACCCCCCAAACAGAATGGGGCACATCCCTCTTCTGTCAACCCCCTGATGTATCTTTTGGATGGGGGCAGCGCCGAAAAAGTGCTCACTTTTTTTAGCAACATTTCTGAAACAAAAACATGTGTTTGGGGCCCAAATAGGACATTTTTTCACTATTTCAGGCCTATAAAAGGGGGAGGGGGTCGAAAGTGCGTTGTTTCACGTATATATGAGGTAAAGGGTTAAACAATAGAAAATAACAAAAGAAATGGCCCCTTATTCTATTTCCGCCAGATGTCTGTCCTGCCAGCTGGCGGTTTTTCCTTGTCCGCCCAATAACTTAAGATTCCTTTGACCCATAGTCTTCATATTTGGTATTTAGATTGATCATGATTAGTAGATGATCCCTATTGCTTTTGAGGTCACCAGGTCAAAGGTCAAAGAGATGGGGCTCTTGACTAAAACAAGCTTGTTCGCCCAATAACTTAATTTCTTTGACCCACAGTCTTCATATTTGGCATGGAGGTTGGCCATGACCAATAGATTATCCCTATTGATTCTGAGGTCACCAGGTCAAAGGTCACAGGGGCATTGACTAAAAAAACGTGTCCTCCCTATAACTTAAGATTCCTTTGACCCACAGTCTTCATGTTTAGCATGGAGATTAGTCATCATAATTAGATGACCCCTATTAACTTTGAGGTCACTGGGTCAAAGGTCAGGGGCTTTGACTAAGAGAAACATGTCATCCCAGTAACTTAAGATTCCTTTGACCCACAGCCTTCATATTTGGCTTGGAGGTTAGTCATGACCATTAGGTGACCCCTTTTGATTTTCAGGTCAGTGGGTCAAAGGTCAATGTCACGGCATTGACCAAAAAAAGCATTTCAGCTCAATTGTATAAGAATGCTTTGGTCAACAATCTTCATATTTGGTATTGAGGTTGTTTATGACTAGAAGATGACCCCTATTGATTTTTAGGTGACTGTGTCAAATGTCAAGGTCACAGGGATTTTTACAAAAATAAGCTTGTCTGCTCAATTGCTTAAGAATGCCATCTGCAGTGTATATTTGACATTTTCACATTTGAAGCATGTAGAATACGTAACTTAGAGATGCATTGGTTAAAAGTTACATCAGATTTGGCAGGGAGGTTGTCCTTCAGCTGTAAATGGCCACTTTTGCTTCTGACAAAGTGGTTTGCAGGGGTTTTCATGCCATGACAGTGGCAGGTTTAGTTTTTCTATAATTTTATATACATTACTTTGTTGAAAAAGTATTGAATCTGTATATTTCATTATTAATAATTGATGGAATATAAAGAGAGAAAAATATTACAGATTAATTTACCTCTGGTCTTGAACACATTTTATGTATAGATCTGAATTTGAATAAAAGTTTTATTTGTATATACTTTTTCGAAACATTAATATGTTATATTATACTTTCAATTAACATCTTATTAGTTCTTATTTGTTTTAACATTTCTCATTTGTTTGTATAATAATTTTATAATTGATAAACATAATTTAATTATAATTAACAGTACGATGTCGTTTTAAATTTTTAAATAACAGTTTTTGTAAGCATATATGTATAATTATATCCAAGGTTTTATTGGCAATGATTTAGAAGTTTTTAGATAATTAGACTATAAAGTAATCTTTTTCTATGTTTGGTTGCCTCCCTCCTGCACATTGTGTTTGATAGGCACCTAGAGTCCCTTTATGATGGGCCCATGCTATGATGATGGTGCTTTCTGATAAGCCTGTTTACTTGTTACCATTCCTTCTATAAGCTTAGTGTATGTAGTGGTAATGATAAGTTATTATAAATTTATAACTTAGTTCAGATTTTGTTAGGCAGGCTCGGTACTTATTTTAGGTATGTTCTTGTAAATCAGAATTAGTATTTATATCTATAATCTTAAGTTCTTATGATTTAGATTAATCATTTGTAACCTTATTGTTTGAATTGTAAGTAAGACTTGATAAAAAAAAACAGTAATTTGCTAATAACACTGACCATTGTGGATTCAAATTTACCAGTGTCTTTGGATTATCCAGCTATCTTATTGGAATGTCGGTGGTTCTACTCTGGTGCCTGCTTGTGTCTGAAATAATGCATGGTAGGACACCCGACGTCTTCCTCCACCAGTAAAGCTGGAAAGTTGCCATATGACCTCTACTGTGTTGGTGTGACATAAAACCAAACCAAATAAAAAAGTTCTAATAGATCATCCTTGTAACTGAGATACACTTATAATTCTTTGAAATAGTTTTGTAACTAAAAATAATTTAAAAACACCATATGTTCTTAGATTATTTACCAGAATTTCTTATAAATTAGACCTCACACTCAAGATAAGTGTACCTGATTGCTGAATTTTTTTGAAATTTTATCTAATACACTGTATCTAGATTGTTTTACTAATGTCACTATTGTGTTCAGTTAGTTGACCTCATGTAAAAGTACATAACTATTTGTTCTTATATCCCATCCCAATGACATACTTATTGCGTTTTTCTAGGTATATAATGTTAAGTAGACATACCTTAGTAATAATAGTCAGGATTGTTTTAATGAAACTCATCTTAATTGGTTTTTTATTTGTTGTTTTTTTATTATAAAATACTGTATACATGAGCTCTTCCATTTGTCTTAATTTACATGTTTTATTGGAAATTAGTTAAAGAATGGTTACATTTCAATTATTATGTTCTTGAGCTTTGTCTTGTACTGTATATAAATTTGTTGGCAAATTTTAAGCTCTTTATGGCCCAGAAATGCTTTAAATTGACATTGTATTTTTATTTCCTAAATCTTTTTATTTTTTGGTGTCCTGGGACAGTATCAAAAAAGTTACTCATAAAGGCCAATTACCTGAACCATCATTTACTACTCTTGCCTTTTGGCTATTAGTACAGATTAAGTATGTGATTCAGTATTTTGTATGGAAGTCAAAATACTACATTGTTTACACTTGGCTATGTTTTATGACAAAATAAATTAATGAGCATCTAACATGCTCTAAAACAATATAAAATTCATATTTGCCTTTTCTAACAGAAGTAAAATTTTAATTCATTTCTGAAGCCTTTAAAGATGTAGACATTTTTGTTATATAATTTTCATATTTTATATGTAGAAATGTTTGTTATGTAATTTTCATATTTTATATGCAGAAATGTTTGTTATGTAATTTTCATATTTATTACATATTGTATATCAGGAGATGGTATTTTTTGATATATTGAGATATTTTTGTTTAAAATAAAGAAATAAAGCAAATTCATATAAACTTCTTTCTTTTTACAAAAAAATTTCAAAAAATTATTTAAATTGTGCTCTTTTGGTTTTTAAAAAGTTTAAGTACTCACCTTAAAAGGGGGAAGTTTTCAAATCCCTAATTGGGTGCTAATTATGGGGTTAGGTCTTAAAAGCTGGGGGCTTATAAATAAAAAACCTTTTTTGATTTTTTTCTAAAAGATTTTATCCAACCTTTCTTTTTAAAATATTTTAAAAAATATTGAAAAACATTTTTATGATTTCTTTTAAGAAATTTGAAAGTAACCAAAAAATTTTGATCATGCTAAGAACTGTTTTTTTCTTCAATTGTTTATTTTTCACAACAAATGTCCTAAAAGTAAACATTATTAAGCTATTTTATTAGAGTCAAAAGTTCACTAGAAAATTATGTGATACCTGTTATATAAGATGTTTTTAAGTACTCAACTTTACATCGTATAGTTGAGTACTATTGTTCCTTACGACATTGTATAACAAAACTGGTTTGACACGGTTCATGAATAAGAGTTTATGTTTGGCGGGAATTGATTGTTTGAAATCAGTTCTAGCGAGATTTTCTATGTGGCAATTTCAAATTCAAATTCAAGAATGATATCATACGTGTAGTACCTTTGGTGATATTGATTTTCTTTTTTAGCATGTTCTGAAATGTTCCGTGATTCCTTTATCCTGAGGAATGAATTTAAACTTTTACGTTTAAATAAAGTCTAACGTGCATGCCACGGAAACATGTTTCCCCCTACAAAGTAGGTTAGGTTGTTCATGGGCGGCTGTCATTCCTAAGACGGATTTGCGATCAATTTTGTCAAAAATTATGCATAGGGTCAAGATAATGCTATCTGTCAATCAAAATTTTATATATTGAAAGACAAAATAATACAGATTATTATTTTCATATCTGTGTATTAGATATACATGTATACTGTAAGTAGGATGTGTATTCCTCCATTGTCTAAGTTTTGGTTTACATAAATTTGAAATATATGAAATCTATAAGCATTTCTCTCGCAAACACATAACAAAAGTTGTTATTTCTTTGGTTTTTGTAGAAAGATAGTTAGGACTAAATGTAAATCTCAGTGAAGTCCATGTGATGCTAGTTATATACATGTACTAGTATGTACATATTCACATATTAAAAAAAAGGTTTTGGGAAATGCAGAAAAATAAAAATTAAGTTAAATTTTTATATGTTTATTTCTGTAAGTGCTTTTACATATCTTCAGTAACATATTATATCATATATATGAAAGAAAGAAAGTCAGGAGCATAAAATTATAAACAGAAAAATGAAGTCACTTCTGAAATGAATTGGTCTGTATAAATATAGGAAGGTCTGTAATACCATAAAATATAATATGTAGTCAATATCATCCAAAATCATAATTATAAAATTAATATACTTTATAACAAACAAGAAGCGCCGCAATGCAACGAAAACCAGGTTTTCAATGACCAAGTTTGATGGAAGCAAAATATTTCAAAGGCAGAATTAAGGAAGAGCAAAATTCTATTAAGCAATTTTTACCCAACTTTCCCGATATAAGCTTCCATACACCCAAATTTGGTTTAAAGGCAAAGCAAAATCAAGTTATTTTCAAAAGAACAATAAAAATTTTACCTTTTCACAGACACTGGGGAGAACCCAAGTCCTCTTGATATAACTATCCAACCCCAAATTTGGTTCAATAGGCCAAAGCAAAATAAGTTATTTAGGGAAACCAAAAGGGTTTACGTCTTTCCGTCCCGCCCACCCACCCGGCATTTCAAAACCGTTTTTTTTGAAAAAAGGTTTAAAAAAGAGAAATTTAATTAAGTACTTTTAACAAAAATAAAATTTTTCATGGAAAGGATGTTGTTTTTAATTGTGAGATACTTGTATAAAAATATCTTATTAAAAATTTTTTTTAAAAAACATTGCTGCTCTTATATAAATGTTCATACTAAATCACTCAAAAACAAAATTTGTTTTTCAAAAATATCTTTCATTTAATCTAGGGACCTGGACCATATAAAAAACTTATGGAAAATGTGCCAAATGATCCTATACATGCAATACTTTAAGAAAATGTGCCCATTGTAGACCACTGTTTTAAATACTTAAAGAAAATGTGCAAAGTGTTGACCAATCCACCTTTAATCAGTTTCTAAGTAAAGCTACATGGTTGTTAAATAAAGGAGATCTAACCTCAAGTTAAATTTGGTTTTCTCTTCAATAATAGTTGCCGCTATTTTACATCTTTGTGAATGCCTACCTGCTAGTTGCTTTACTTGTTTTAAAGAAAGCTAGAAATGTAAATGGAAAATCTATCATTTAAATCTTCTGGTGAGCCATTGAATGGATCATCACAAAATTTGATTAGTTTAAACTAAACTAAACATTTCTTTAAGCTTGATTGTCAAACAGGTTGATGCAACTTATATTAATCACTTTAAAGTCTGCTCCCTGGAGTGGAACCAACCAATCTTGGTGTCGTATAAAGAAACATGGTCATGACACAGTTACGGATCGAACCCATGATCCATGGGCTGAGAGGCAGACCCCTTAACCACTAGGCCACTGCTCCCTTTAAGTAGCACCATTACATTGGATGTTGCATTTTCACAGTATATTTATTATATTTTACATATCTTACCATTTTCAAAGCCCAAGTTAATCCATGTAAGATATTCAAATTTTTTATTTTAGAGTTTTGGACCTCAGTGGAGCTCCTTTAATGGTTGAATTAAACCATATGCATCCCTTCATTTTGTTTCCAACCTGTGTAGAACCACCAACTTTAATTTATCTATATTTTCGTATAGAAAGTCTCAGCCTTTGTCAGGGTTCAAACCCACAACAAGAGGCATTTATACCAAATTAGGGACATTTATCATGATTATGAAGGTCAATTAGAAAATTATTAAAGTTTCTGGAACAGGAACTTGCAAAATGACTGTAGCAATAGCTCTAATTATTTTGTTCTTCGAAAAAGTTTTCTAAGAAAAATAACACATTGTTCAAGTTTTTTTTTATATTTTCTTGTGTACATTACAATACATTAATCATCAAATTATATAAAATATAAGACACAAAATATAACAGAATAAACTTAATTTCATACAAAAAAAATCATATATTTTCAACAGATATTCAGTGCTACACAAGGCTATGATTACTTTGAATCACATTTACATTAAGAACTTTTATTGTCTTACTTTAAGGTATCACAAAGCAGACAATTAATTAACTAAAATAAATTATTTACTTGAATGTGGTGGTGAATTTACACAGAGAGAAAAATAACATGAAAAATCGGCATAGCGCAGCTGGGACTCGCACCACGCGTCTCTGCGGCCTGCCAATTTTTCATTTGATTTTTCTGTTGATAGTTTTCCGCTCATGAAATTCTTTCTTTTACATATATGAATATGATATTAAACGTTACTATCTGAAGATATATAAATGTGCTTACAGAAATAAATGTATAAAAATTTAACTGAATTTATATTTTTCTGCATTTTCCAAAACCTATTTTTGATATATAAATATGTACATACTAGTACATGTATAAATAAACTAGCATCACATGGACTTCACTGAGGTTTACATTTAACATCTTATATAACAGGTATCACATAATTTTCTAGTGAACTTTTGTCTCTAATAAGATAGCTTAATAATGTTTACTTTTAGGACATTTGTTGTGAACAATAAACAGATTGAAAGATTATACAACATGTTGCTAGGCAATGACACAAATAATTTTGCTTACTAGTAAATTCTTTATATAAGAATCATATTAAATGTCATCATATTATATAACTATTACAAAGAAAGGTTGGATAAATATCTTTCAGACAAAAATACAAAAAGTATCATTTAGACCCCTCAGCTTATAAGATACAAATCCCATAATTCAGACACCTAACCCTAGGGATTTGAAACTGCCCTCCTTTTCAAGGTGCAGTAAGTCAAACTTGTTAAAGATGAAATAGAAAGCACGCTGTAAATAACGGCCATTCTTCAACAATCCTCATTGATAAATAATACAAACTTTCAAATAAAGGCCACTTGTCTATAAAGCCCATGTTAGATCTTTCCCTTGAATGACCTTTATTCACAGGTTATACTGTATTTAGGTTTTTAATATTCGTCATGAAAAAGTTCATATAGACATATATTTAATAGAAAACTTTTAAGTATCTGTATGTCATGGAAGTTTGTTTCACTGTTCATGTTTTACATAGAAATTATTTTTTTAATGGTACACTACTGCATTTACTGGAGGAAAAAATGCTTTCATTCAATGTTCGGCTATTTCAAAGCTGCCTGCCTCCAGATGAGCCAAAATAGTTCAACAAAATAAATATAGACAAAATGTACTAAAATTTTAAGAACAGTAAAAACATTCAAGATCAAAGTTACATTTAGAATGAACATGCGGTTTGAGACTGATTTTGCAGTATTTTATTACCATATTTCTACTGTGTTACAAACACAGTAAGGGCTGTTTTTGTATATGTTGACCACTTTCTGGTAATTTCTGTGGATTGTACGTACCAACTGCTATATATAAATTACTTTATTTCTTCAACTTATAATACTTTCTTTCTAAAGACATTTCCAAAATTTTCATGAAAATTAACACGAATCTGGAGGCATGCTGCTTTAAAACAAAAAGAAATATTAAAATACTTAAATTGTACAAACGCAGTTACATAAACACATGTATATGTACAGTCAAACCTGTAATTTAAGGTCACTCAAAGGATAGAGAAAACGTTGTCTTTCGAGACAAATGTTCTTTATTTGGAAGTTATTTTACTCCATTTTTTTCAATGAAGGCTTATCAAAAAGTAGCCTTTATTTGCAGGCTGCCATTATTCAGAGGTGGTATTTAACACAGGTTTGCCAGTACACAATAATTTAAATAACAAAATCTTTGCAAACTTCTTACTTTTTTTCATGCTTTACATTCAACTTCACATCTAAACAAAGGATTTCTCTATGTAACAATACATGTTGTTTCTGGCTACATATATTCTATTTTTTACAGTTTCACATTATGATACAACTAACTTTTAAAATAATACTCAATTTACTGCAATATTGATAAATATTTTCTTCTGGTTTCACAAAGGATATAAATATGAAGAAGAAAAAATAAATTATTGCTATTGTGTTGTTGTGAATTTTAAGGGAGTCCACCAAGGTTTTTTTTTACATGGCAAGATCCAGATTAATATTCCATGCAATTCTAGACCAGTAACTTGTGTGCAATATTTCAGATCATTCTCTCACTCTGTTTTCTTCCAGCATAAATATTCTAACTGTAAAAAACTGGTTAAAAAAATGACCCATTAATGTTTTCACTCAAATCTTGCTAAGAATAACATAAAAATATTATTTTCAATTTAGTTCCCGAGGGGGGGGGGGGGGGGCTGTTTCATAATTACTTTTTGTTTTAAGTATGTAAAAAATTCAAATTTTATGTTTTAAGGCCATTGTACTTCAGTGGAATTCCTTCAAAGGTTTATGTGATCTTTGCATTTATTGTCAATATATATTAAATTAAAGAACTATATTTTGTTTCATCAACAGAATCTGGTAAAGCTATGTTATGAAGTTTTATTTTTGCATGGGCAACATTCATGTTTAACCAGAAGGCAAATAATTTGCAAGCTGCAGTACTTACAACTACCATGAATCATTCATACAAATCATTTAAGAATTATAAATAAATCATATCACTTTACATAAACAATAATTTATTATATTCAAATTAATATACAAGTAATTTGTTATCATTTATACACAATATTATTTCTACTGTAGATAAAACATCACAAAATCAGGGGGCATGATTTTTAACTTACATTTTTCAGAAATATTTTCTTGTTATTAGTCTACACAGGTAGAAAAAATATTTATACACATGATTTGATTTGGACCAATTCGTAAATTTTCATGTCTGTTACTGCCGTATACCACTGATTTATTACTGGTACTATAAAAAGTTGACAAAATGATTATTCACTCTAAAGTTTATTGAAATATTTCTAAAAATTTAAGCCTGTTAAATTCAAAATTAATTCTTTAATATCTAATCAAAGAAGCAAAAATCTGGAGGCAGTTTCTTTAAAGAGTTGAAAAATGCTGACACTGTGTTTCTTGGTATTTATTTGTTAAATTTCTTTCCGTTATTTCTATTTTTGTTTATTGTAAGGCATAGATCAACCTAGATACAAGACATATATCCACATATTTGACTAGCAGGAATCAGGAAATCACATTTTTCCATTGACTTCATAGGAGGGAGTTTTAACACCTATTATACAGATATGGTGAAAAAGTAATATATTTGTTAATTTTTACACAGGAAGATTCTCTGTATAAGTCAATGTTCTTTCAAATATTATTGTTCTAAATAAAAGACACAAATAAAATATGCATTCTATATAAGGTAGTTACAGGATTTTTGTTCAATTTGCACGTGAATAATTGATAGATTAAGCATTATAGATCTGTCTTAACAGATTCATAAAATTCATAACAATGCAAAACTATTACTTTACAAATGGAATGTCATCTTACCCTTTTTGTACCTTTCACACATATATTCATGTGAAACTAGCATACAGTCCAAAGTTGTAAAATGGAAATTTGAAACCAGTCTGACAACCCTGCCCTGCCATTGGCCAATTTCAAAATGGTTAACAGAATAAGCCAATCAAAAGCTTGTGAATCCAGACAGGTTTCTATATGAAGTTTTTATAACCTTGAACACAACTTTTACACTAAAAATCCATTTAATATCTACTCTAGCACAGTTCAAGGGACATTTCTACAAGTAACTTGAAAATAAATGCTACAGATCATGAAATTTTAGTCTTTCTTCAATCTAGTGGTAGTCATTCTGTATATGATACTATCACGTCCTGGGTCCATGTTCCAGATACTGTAACACACACCAAATACTGTAATAGCTAGTAAAATCATTAGCCATAGACAGATATTGAAGGTCACTGGGTACATCTCGTCATAGTCCATTGCTAAGTTATAGCCGGTCACATTTTTTTTCTGTGGAAATAAAAATGACATTTTCATCTTCAAGAAAATTAAATATGTGTATAAATGTTTTTATGTGTAACAAAATATCATATCATTGGCTATAAGTTAGTAAGTTCATACCAGATCTTTATAATAAAAGCAATAAAAAGTTACTTAAGACATTTAGAATCCCATTAGAATTAAAGCTGTTGTAATGTTGTAATTAACTATACCATACAGTACGCTCAGCGCGGCTTTTTCAAAACCCGCGTGACCCCGCGGATGAGGTTTACCGCGGACTAAAATTTGCTCAGATATTGTCCGCATGACCCCGCGGACAGAAAATTTTCACCACCGCGGACATAAATCGGCGGCTGAAACCGTTTCCCCCGCGGAACACAGTGGTAAATTGTGGAGGAACGCTGCGGTCAAACACCGGTCAACGTGGTGGAAACCTTAAATTTTAAAAATTAATTACTGTATTTAAACATCAGTATACGTACGTACATGTACTGTAACATGTACTGTACATATACATGTAACTATATGTAAAATTTGTTTGTTTTCTTTCTTTTTTGTTGTAATAAAAGTACATGTACAAATGCAGTGTTTTTCTTGTTCTTCTTCTTGTTATTGTGTTGGGTAATGTATAATATGTATTCGACATCAAGATAAATCATTGTCGTCGCAACTTCATGGTAGTGAGAAACTTGAAGTCAAATAATGAAAAATTCGGCATATGACATTTATGAAAAAGATACTACAACAATTTATATGCCAGCTTTTGTTTCTTATTTAAAAACTTTGAAAACATAACCCTCAACAATTTTATTCAGGCAATATTCCAGGACGTCTCTTTCAATTGTCAGATGCGTTTTACTGTTTCTGTTTATTTGCATATTGATCATAAAGTCTTATATTTTATTTGGAACATAAAAAGAAAGCGTTTATTTCACCAAAATATACATTAAATGATATTCTTGATTTATCTAATTACAGGTGTGAGCGTAATGCATATGTTTTGAAGTTTGTATCAACTGTTGAAGTTTATTTTCATTTTTGTTTTAGTAGGTTGTTTGCTTGTTCTTTTTTATAGATTTTTTTTGCAGAATTTTGTTAAACTTGACGTTATACTTTTGTTATTTTATTATGAACAGTATGCATGTACATACATGTATATAAGGCAAACAAGCACATGGCAGTTATTTTCTAAGAACTTCCATCGACCGATTTTCAAGTTAAAAATATTTCATTTTATTTTTATCTTAAGATATTATTGTTCATAGGAATAATAGTATTTGTAGACAACATGTAGTTTTAAGTACATACAATTGAACGTAATTGTCTTTGCTTTCTTGTATTTATTATATTAAGTTTTCATTGAAATTAATTGATTCCGAGGATAATAATGTAATTTTATAATTTGTAAAAGGCAGCCTAATTATTATTAATATATGTACATGTATTTTATTTATGTCCTGTCTTGTATTCACACTCATCGACCTCTTACAGGACATGTACTGTAGCGTCAGTCATCATTGAGAAATCAGCACAAATGTCCTTTTTTTACTAAGTATCATATTTATGGCTCCCACATAGTTTAACAGCAATAATACTTATAGAACCACAAGGAATGAACAAGTAAAGATGACAGTGATAAATGACGATTTTAGTTGTAAAAATATTGGTATGTGGACGAATAGTTTTGTGGACGTTTATAACAAAAATATTAAAAACAACAACAAAAACAGGTACAGCTGTTATTATTTTTATTTCAAATTCTGTTCAAATAATTTAACGTATAATAACATTTAAGGAGACGATTGTGGTCAATTTTCAAGTCATTGTGTAAAAAAAAAGATGACGTTAAAAAATAATAAAACGTCTGTTATTTTTGGAGGTTAATTTATACTGACCAACTGACCATGGCGTTCCCCCGCGTGAAACGGGTGACTGATTTTATTGATAAATGAAGAACGGTTGTCAGAATTTTGTCCGCGGTGGAAACAACTGAACACCGGGGATCGCGGGGAAATTAGGCTTCTCATCGCGGACGAACCCCCGAGTTTGTCCGCAATAAAAAAAAATCGTCCGCGGTGGTATCGCGGAAAAAGCAAAACCCGCGGTGAGCGTACTGTATGTAAATAATTAACTTTAAAGTATCATAATCTCACAACTACTGGTAAATAAATGCAAACTTACAGTTTCTTCAACAGCTTTAAGACTTCTACTTTTTCTAATTAAGTTATCATGTGGGGAATGTACAGCAAGAACTTCAACAACTACATTGTCCTTATACAACGTCTTTAACTGTTCCGTCATCTGAAATCATTAAATGTTTTAAAACCATTAGAAACATGAGATTGTCAATTATCCTCTTAAAGTCACATTATTTATCCTGCTACAGTCTATATTATCAGCTGGATTATGCCTTGCCGGATAAACTTATCTATCTCCAGTCATTACGTCATATGATGACGTCACATGGTTAGCAGCAAAACAAAACTTCATATAGATGCTGCTTTATCAGGGAAAAGTAAAAATGAAACCATTTAAAAAAAAATTAAAAACTTGATCAAAATAGACAAAAGCAGGATAAATCAAATACATGGTTGATGTCGGGATAGGAGAATGTTTATCGCTAAAGCTCGCCAATATACACTTTACAGGTAACCGGATAAACCTTCTCCATCTCTACATCAACTATGTATTCCCTATGCCTATTAAGAGTAAAAATGGCGAGATTGTTGGTATGAAATTCATAATAACTCTACATTTTGTCACTGTTGTTTTCACTACGATCAAAGAACTAAAATGATGTGGTGGCGTGGCTGGGTGGTGAACACGTTGAACTATTAATCTAAGGATTGTTGACCGCGTGGGTTCAAACCCTGTCAGGGACAAGCCGTTGTTTCCTTGTACAAGAATCTTTCATTCATTGCTTAGTACTGGTTGGTTACAGGAACGGATTCAACAGTGTTTCAATAAGCTTATAGCTTTCAACACACTCAAACTAAAATAGATTTGTATAAACTAAAGAACTCAAAACTGGTCCCATTAGGCTATCAAAACTGTTTATTTGTAAGCATGATATGAGAAAATGGACAACAGGATATTAAACATTACCCTTTTGTACTAGTTCCATGAACTTTACGACAAAAATAATTGTTTACATATTCAAAGTTACTAACTGCCTTATTTACAAAAGTGTAAAATTTTCCTACTTCTAAATCTGTGGATTTACAGGTGGGTCTCCCTTCTTTTTTATGTATTTATTTTAAGGGAGGAGAGGGGAAGATGCTAACATTCAATAAAACTTGCCTACATAGACTGGTACAGGCATATAAGAAATTTGTTTCTGTAGGCGGAGGCCTCTGAAGATACTTGTTAAACCTAAGCCATAGGTTTTATTAGTTCAGGCTAAGGTCGGGCCGGAAATGGGCTATCCTCCCTCCCCAAAAACCCCACTCCCCTCCCCTAGACCCAATTCAAACATGTCTTCCACAGGTTAATCTTCAGCAAAGCCGTGAGTTTATTCTGAATATAATAACCCAGTTGTAGCAGTTTACAAAGCTCACCTTATTAAGGAAATCTGAGACAAGAGTTGAAGCATCTTGTGACTGGGTTGATTGTTTACCATGTTTATCAGCAACTCTCGGTAATCCACCAATCATAAAACTGTAGAAATCCGGTGTTTGAGACTTCATTAATTTCTCTTCTCCCTCAACCTGAAATTGAAATCTTCTATCATGATATATGTACGTATCTATGTCATTCACGGTGCACAAGATAAAAAACAAACAAGCATGGGAACTTCTATATAGTACTTGTATATGTATTAATTTGTACGTATCTAATTCATTCACAATAAGCAAGAAAACAAAACAAACTAGCCGTAATATGTTGTAGAATTAGGTAATTTTAATTTGGAGATATTATTCAATGAGTAACAGTCTTGACCGATTGTATAAAATAGCCAGTATGTTTCTTATTACATAATGTTCCTGTACTGTTAGAAAACATCACTAGTCTTTTCCTATTTCATCACCTTAGTGCAATAACTGGTCAACTCCTATCAAATTAAAAAGAACTTTACCCGTTACTGCACTAACGTGACCATTTTATGATTTTATCTTAGTTTTGATATTATCGATAATTCCCTCCCTTACAACACATGATGACATCCTAACTTCTATATCATCACTTAATGTTTATTCAACATGTAGTTACAACCCCTTAATTTGCTAAGTTACTGTATTTGAACATTGTTTTGAACTCAGAACTTTCCATCCAAAGCTAAAAGGATTTAAAATTTTTAAATATCAAAATACAAACAAGAGCACAGCATGTGGTGTTATCGCTCATCTGTGAAGTTCAACAACTATCAATAACCAATTCTGATAAAAATGTTAAAAATTAAAAGGGGGCATAACTCCAAACATCATCATCATTATTTTTTTTATTTTTATCATCATTATCATTAATATAATATTTATCAACTTTCCCTCAATAAAGATTTTATCATCATCATTATTACTATAAATATATTAATAAATATTATAATATAACATTATAATATTATTATTATCATTATTATTATTAATATAATTATTATTATTATTATTATTATTATTATTTTAGTATTTATCAACTTTCCCTCAATAAAGATATCATCATCATCATCATCATCATCATTATTTTTATCATTATAGTATTTCTACATCATTCAAATCTGGACCATTCCATATATAACCTATATATGGGACATCTAGAAATCATTCCTTTTTTAAAATTCAGTCTAAATCGGAGATGGTCCACAAAATGATTTCTAAAGAAATTTAGGATAATCTTCATACTGATAGACAACACACAACAAGCTTCATGTTTTTCTATACTTCCCTCTAAATTCTGTAGGCTCAATAAACTAAGGTTATAATATTGATCAAATGTTTATCAAATAACTAAAAGAATCAGACAATCAAAATGTCACAATATATCATAAGGAATGTGCTGACAATTATACCTTTTGGCAACTTTTTGTATTAACTAAGCAGCTGATAATTGACATTATATAATTCACATTGTTTATTGCATTGTCTTCAATCAGATTCTATCTACCAAAGTACATCACTTATTACGAAACAATGTTGAAATACAATGTACTTATTAAGTAATATTTTGCTTGGTTTTTCCTACACAAAACCTTCTTTGAAAACAGACAAAACCTTCCTTGAAAACAGACAAAACCTTCCTTGAAAATAGACAAAACCTTCTTTGAAAACAGACACATGCCCTGAAGACTAACCATGACCTTTGACTTTCAACAAAACATTAACAAATGCGCTCTCACATTCTCCTTGCACCCAATTATTTCAAAAAGCACCAATGAATGAATGACCATACAACTACATATTACCCTCACCTTCCTTCCTGTCAATTGCACATCACAAGTTTTCCTAATGTGCCACAAATGTATACATATACCTAATTATTTCAAAATCCATTCATAAATGACAGAATTAATAACCAGACATAACCATTAATGACTTATTATGAAACTAGAAATGTGTCCATAGGACACGGGTGCCCCCACCGTGCCACTGTTCCATCTAGGTCAAATATTTTTTGAAAACTAAAAATCTTTTACTAAGTAAACAGCAAGAACTTTACAAATACTAAATAAATCCACAAGCAAACCAAATGCTGCATAAGTACACATGCTGACCAACATTCTTGTAAACTTTCAGGCCTACAAGTGAAATACTTTTTAAGCTATGCATGAACAAGTTGAAAATTGCAAATTTATACTACTGTAAGTCAAGGGCAATTACTCTAACAAAACTGAAAAAAATCCACATGAAAAGTCCCAGGTGCATAGCTTCACAATGATGTGAATCATTATTCCTGTAATTTAGTGATGTTGATCATTATTCCAGTAAAGTTGGTTGATTCTAACTCAAGCACTCAAGGAACAAATAACAACATAATGAAACAGGTGCAAAACTAAATATGCTGAGCAACCTTCCCATAAGGTTTAATGACTCTATGTCAAATCCTTTTTGAGTTACATGCAAACATAATTGTAATGCTGGAAATAATGTCCGTTATTAGCTCAATCTGTTCAGGTGAAGTTATTTCTTTGAGATCTTTGCAGATAATGTCTATCTCTTGTTGAAGTTGTGTATGTCTGTTTTCCCAATATTGTAATAAAATTTCACACAATTTGTTGCCAAATTCTATATGCGCTTCTTCCCACTTGATTTGTAAAGTGGAACTGATGACCGGGACCTGGGGTGTGAGATTGACTCGTAGTGCTCTAGGTACTGATTTTGTGGTTATACACTTTTGTAAGTAATTTATGTGGTGCTCAGTGCGTGTTCTTTGTATATTGAGTTCCTTTAAAACTTTGAACCTTGAAACGTTTTTTTCGTCGATTTTTCGTGGAGAGTCGTCTTCTGTTTTTTTGCGTTTCTTCGTTGGATGATTAGTCTGAACCGGAAGCGTTGCTGTGGAGACAGACGGTGTTATCGAAGGTGTATCAAAGTCCGAATCGTCCTGAGGAGAAAGTTGATATGACATCAGTACAATTTCGCAGCAGATTCCCTTACCAAGGGCTCAACTATGCTTGTATCGGTGGATCCAATAATGGATACACGGCAGAAAGTGGAAACTGTAACTCTGCCCACACCGTAGAGTTGACTGGCTGGAAATCTGGTACTGACGGATCCCAAAGGGATACGTGTTCCCACTGGTAACAAACTAAGTAATCAAAGAAAGGATGAAGAACAACACGTCAGGAACACCAGAGTGAGTTTACGTAAATTTATTTATCTACCGGTTTCGATCATATAATGACCTTCATCAGGATAATACAGAAATATTTTGAAATTTAGGCCCTGAAGTATACTAAATGTGTAAACTAAAAAGTCACGTGACAATACTATATTTGGTTTCGTTCTGGAAGTGTGCCAAGAATTTTTTGGAATTTTGCCAATAAGTTGTTATTAAGTATAAAATGAAAATGTTGTTATTATAAGTCCTACTTAGTTACATGAAAAAATACCATAAATGGATCCAATAGAAATTATCTGTTCATTGGTGTGACTATACTGTCCATATTCATCTTCACACAAGGTTTCTGAGCTGTTGTTCTTACTTGGATTTAATGGAGATATAGGTTCTGGTATTGGAAAGTTCATAGTTTCAATGTCCATGTTGATCTTCTGTGTTTGGTTGGTGTTCTTAGTTTTTTTGTTCTGTTTCTTGTTAATTAGTTGTGGTGTTCCTCTATTGTTAATGATTCTAAATGTTGGCATCTTTTTTAATATCCTATATTTGCTTTCAGTTGGTTTGGGTGTTGTTCTTGGTTTATCAATTTTGATGTATTCAAACTTTGTTTCATTGAATCCATGTACGTTTATGGAGTGTCTTTTAAGCGAATCCCGTCTTGCGTAGTGCTTATTACACCATGAACAAATGAACTTGGTTATGTATTCAGCATGTGTTTTTTGGTGTTGGTACCATCTGTTTTTATCAGTGTAATATTTGGTATACCTCGGTTTTGGCCATTCTTCTTCAGTTATTTTTCGTGCATAATTTATTTCTTCCGATTTTACATAAGATTTAAGCCGCTTGGAGTTCTTGTTTTTAATTTCCTGATCCATACTTCTTCCGTTCTGATATTGATGTTTCTTTCGGTTGTTTGTATGATAATGACGTCGAATTCACTATGTCCGTTTACATTAAAATGGCGCGAAACGGGCTTGACGTTGTTTTTACTTCTAATGTCGGCTAAATGGCCGTAGAATCGATCTCTAAGTGAATTGCCAGTTTGTCCTACGTACTGTAATTTGCATTGTTTACATGCTATTAAATAAATTAAGCTTACAGTTTTACATGTATGATGTCCAAGGATTTTAAATGTTTCATTTGTAGCGGTACTTTTAAATTCTATAGTATTAGACATGAATTTACATGTAAGACAATTTTGTCTGCACGGGTAACTGCCATTCGAGAATTTATCGCTAGAAATGTCAGACTTAACTAAGATTCGTCTTATGTTATTTGATCGACGATATACTGCTACAATTTTAGAGCTCCTAATGAAAGTAGTGAAATCATTGTCACTTAATATATTAAGATACGAGTTCAAAATTTTTTGAGCTGGTGGGATGTATGGATTGAAAGTAGTTATAAACGGAATGATTTTCTTCTCTTGTGGTTGTGGTAATTTAGATTATTGAATAAATAGTAACAACAATATGTATCAATCATAAAACATATCAAGTATTAAAGCTACATTTAATAAATTTCATAAAAACAGAAATAGTAACATTTCATTAATAAATTGGGTTTTATATCGACTCCAGGTCTTATTTTGGTGTCCAGACAACTAAAATGAGTTTTATTAGCATACAAATGGGTAACCTCATTGTTGTGAAATGGGAAGTACAATTTCTGTTTGCATGAGAAACTCCGCCTTGGGATCATCCGTACATCAATATTAAATCAACAAACATGACCATAAGTAGCAGTCCTAATTTAACGGTATATTTCCGCATTGTAAAAGATGTTTTCATACAAATTTAATCTTTTTACGAGATGATTTCTTTCACTGAACCCCAGGCTTAGTGCACCGTGAAGCTAAAACGGTTAAAGTGTGTTTGCACAAGAAAATATCATATTTGCTGTGTTCCGGATAGCAACTATAAAACAGTGACGTAGCGCATACACGAGCTGATTACAGTCTTCATTTGCATGTTAAAATTCGTATACAAACTTCAGTGTTACCATGGGGTTTTCCGTTTAAAATCCTAATTTATGAACAATATTAGATGAGTATTACAACAATACTGTTAAACAGTTAACGAAACTGTAGAATGTTTGTAGCTTAAATAACAACACAAAAGGAGAAACAAGTGCTCCAAAGAATAAATTGCTCATAAATGTGTACATTTTAACCAGCAACTTTTTTAAAAAAGTAGTCATGACAGAAAACATGCAGTCAAACCTGTGTTCAAAACCACTTCAGAATATAGAGCATCCAGTAAATAAAAGCTTCTCTTACACAATTCAATAATTAAAAAGAGTAAGGTAACCTCCCACTTGTCAATATGTGATATGTTTTGTCCCTCCCTTTGCCCATATTCAGTCCCTCCCTTTGCCCATGTTCAGATGTTCAGTCCCTCCCTTAGGCCATGTTCAGTCCCTCCCTTAGGCCATGGTCAGTCCCTCCCTTAGGCCATGTTCAGGCCCTCCCTAAGGTCATGTTTGGTCCCTCCCTTAGCCCATGTTTAGTCCCTCCCTTAGGCCATGTTTGGTCCCTCCCTAAAGCCATGTTTGGTCCATCTCTTAGGCCATGTTAAGTCCCTCCATTTGGTCATGTTCAGTCCCTCCCTTAGGTCATGTTCATTCCCTCCCTTATGTCATGTTTGGTCCCCCTCTTAGGTCATTCCCTCCCTTAGGCCATGTTAGGTCCCTCCCTTATGCCATGTTTGGTCCCACCCTTAGGCCATGTTCGTACCCGTCCTTAGGCCATGTTCAGTCCCTATCTTAGGCCATGTTTGGTCCCTCTCTTAGGCCATGTTCAGACCCTCCCTTAGGCCATGTTCAGACCCTCCCTTAGGCCATGTTCAGACCCTCCCTTAAATGGATATTGTTCACAGGTTTGACTGTACTTTGAACTTACAGTTTTCAAAACATCTTGAATCATCTGTAATTCCCCCATCAATGATAGATCGCTGGTCAAACTAGTGTTCAAGGTCCCAGTAGTGTGTTCTTGGGCCACAGAATCAGCATCTAATAACCTGTCTGACATTCTAAGCAGCGTGTTTGGCAATTTGCGGAACACATCAAATTCTGACTGAATGTCAAATATCTGTGAAAATAAAGACATTATAATTTCATTATGTGATTAACATTATCAAACTTATTGGAATGAATGTGAAATGGTTAATTCTTAATCAGCAAAGTTTGTGTTTTCGGCATGCCCAGCTGTAAATTTGGAACTGTTCATTTGAATCCTTTCTATGGTTTTTAAGTTTTTTTTTGACACTGCACTTCCTCTCGAAAGTCTCTATCACTGTACATTTTTTTATCAAATTCCTTCAATACTTTAAGTTATTCCTTGGACAAGAGTGCCACAGAGGGACAAGGTGATGACAATATTTTTGTACATGTATGTTCTTCCTTTAGGAGGCATAAATTGAGCTCCCACCAGTGAAGAGATTGGCAAAACTGCATAAATAAACAGGTAGGTAAAAATTTGACCCTTGATTATGGTTGCTGATTTGGTACACTTTGCACGTTGCGTTGTCCATAGCGACAACACAACCTATATCATTATCGCCTTTTCGTCTTGTCCCTAGCGAAATTTGCCAAACGGCGTGTTGTCGCACTGTCATCTTGTCGCTAGCAAAGCACGCCAAATGACGTGTTGTTGTGTGGCCCATGTTGCAATGTCACCCTGTCATTTGGCTTATAAGGCAATCCTTCTATTTGAGCCGAGCGACAATGTGCCATCACAACAATATGCCGCAAGACAACATGCTGTTTGGCGTGCATTGTTAGCTACAGGACGACAAGACGAAAGTCCGACAACTCGCTGTTTCATGCCTTTTCGTGCTGTTACTAGCGACAACAAGACAAACAAAAGCGTTCCAAATCAGCCACCATACTTGATACATTAATTTTATTATTATAACTTGTATGTACCCACTCAAAGTATTTCATAGACATGGAAGACAATAGCTGTTCAGCTTTCATATTTTCAAAATACTATTAAAAGAACAGAAAAGCAGGCTGATAAATGATTAAATTTGGGGATAACAAAGATGAAAATTAGAAGGTAGCCAACATTAAAGTGCCAGGTCAGACTGCACCAAAGTCTGTATCTAATTTGTTATAAAATTTACCATTATTTTTTTTTTTTTTTTTGATTTATCATTACGTACAAGGGTTTTTATTTCTGATCAGGGTATTAACCAGCCAGTACTGGTCCCTGGCCTTTGCACAGTGATACATTAACTACTTACACTATTGTCAAGACCAGCATCCAGGAGAAGAGGATTTTTGTCTAAAAAGTTTCCCTGTAGTGAGGCCATCAATCCACTTACATCAACACCAGCAACATCCTATATATAATATAGAAATAAAATATATATATATAAAAAAATAGATTTACATAAAACTTAAAGGGATGAAAAATATTTATGGGGTTACAACTTCTTTTGATTATATGACACCCTGACACATTAGAAGTCGTATATCAGATTTCAAGCTTTACTGGCAGAGGAACATCTAAGGTGCCCCCTCTGTGCATTAAATCAGGCACAAACGCCGGCCTGAATAGAACCACAAATATTCCATAAACTAGCTGGATTATTATGGATAGCTTCATCATATGAAAGAATCCAAAGTCTCTGGAGGGATTTGAACTTACAACAGTGAGGGACAGAGGTTTGGAGTCAAAAAATTTAAGCACTAGGCCATGGATACCTCCTGAAACTACAATAGCATTAACACATTTTTGTGACTACAACATAGATATTCTTCACTTAGCCACTAATAGTAATACAGTGTATCTGTAAGACAATTTTAAGATATAATAACTTAATTTATAAATACTAGAAATGTGTCATCATGACACAGATGCCCCCGCATGCAGCCAAAATTTCAGATGGTGCATTAATTATTTTTTTTCATTTTAAGTTCAAAGCCCTTAAAACTTTTCAATGTTAACACAAACCATTTTCATACAATGTTCAAGGCACTGAAATTATTCAGTCTTAACCTTTTAAAAATAGCATATTGCATATTTGTAGCCAAAATAATGGCTAAAAGTATGAGTGCTGAAACTGAAAGTTCAAAATTTTTCCAACATTCAGGAAAGATAAGTTGGTCTAAAATCATTGAACCACAACCAAATTCAAACTTAAACTACTTATTCCTAAGATGTATCTATATTATTTTCAAAGTGAAAGGGACATAACTCTGCAAAAAATCATCAAACCATGACCAAATTCCAACTTGACCTGCCCATTCCTTTGACATATTCATATGTCAAATTTAAGTTAAATATGTAACACTGTTGGGTAGATAATGAACAGAAACTGTAAATTTCATATTATTTTCAAAGTGAAAGGGGCATTACTCTGCCAAAAATCATTGAACCATGACCAAATTCGAACTTGGCCTGGGCATTCCAAAAACATATCCATATGTTAAATTTGAGTTGAATGTGTTGTACTGTTGGGGAGATAATAAACGGAAACTGAAAATTTCATATTACTTTCAAAGTGAAAGGGGCATGCATAACTCTGCCAAAAATCATTGAACCATGACCAAATTTGAACTTGACCTGCGCATTCTTTTGACGCATCCATATGTCAAGTTTGAGTTGAATGTGTTGTACCGTTGGGGAGATAATGAACGGAAACTGAAAATTTCATATTATTTTCAAAGTAAAAGGGGCATAACTCTGCCAAAAATCATCGAACCATGACCAAATTCCAACTTGACCTGTATTTTGTCCTGACATATCCATATGTCAAGTTTGAGTTGAATGTGTTTTACCGTTGGGGAGATAATGAACGGAAACTGAAATTTCATATTATTTTCAAAGTAAAAGGGGCATAACTCTGCCAAAAATCATCGAACCATGTCCAAATTCGAACTTGACCTGTTTTTTGTCATGATATATCCATATGTCAAATTTGAGTTGAATGTGTGCAACCGTTCTTAAGATAATGAACGGAAACTGATGATGACGGAATGACAGAAGGACGGAAGGACGGAATGACGGAACAGGGTAACACTATATGCCCCGGCCATTACATGGCGGGGGCATAATCAGTTAGTTCAAACAATATCCCATTTCAATCAAACATATAGACACAATATACAATCAAATACAAAAAAAAGGATTGAGTAGAAGGTAGTATTCAAATTCTTTGACCTAGTGAAATTTAAAACTATGGGAGCAAATGATTAAAACTAGTCAACAAAGAATGCCTCACTATACATAGATAAGATACATGTACTCACCAAGTTGACAGGAAATTCAGCTTTGCTAACAAGCTTCAGGTCAGGCTGTCCTTCCACCATCTGTACTGTAACGAGAACATTGGCTTTTGGGCGCTGAAAGACTGACCCTTGCAAGAGACCTTTCCATTTTATATCCTTAAAAAAAACACAGAAAACAAAAATTTATAGTTTTAGAACTTAAACTGTCTTCACAACTATTCACAGAGTATAATAGTATGTAGGATTTAAAAGCAATGTATCAAAGGGTGTAGTAGAATAGTTAAAATGCTATAAGGTGGTATGAAAACAAAAATTGAAATTGTAAGTTGAAAGAACGATAATAATCACACCAGAGTCTATAACAGAATTATGAAATATGAAAAACAAGATGAACAAGTAATGGGTGGTGTTCAATGAACACGACCCAGCAACACAAGAACACCGACCAGGAGCCCAGTATGACACAACAGATTAAAAACAGGACCGCCCTTATAGACTAGAGGAAATGTGATGGTCATAAACAAGTGAAGTATTCTTTGTTTCAAAGCAAATACTCCATTGGTATAACGAAACAACCGGACTATACAAAAAACTTCACCAAGACATGAACAATGTGAAAGAGTATATAGGGAAGCTCTCCCAGTTATATGTATAAAAGTTAACCATCCTATTGCATAATTCACAGCCCTAAGAAGCTCTAACAATTTTCATCTTAAATTTTTTTTTTGGCAACATACATCATTTTTTTAAACATCATTTAAATGATATTACATACTCAATTGAACTTTTTCTGATAGAAACTGTATCCTGACAAAGGTCTGAGAAAGACAAAACATACAAAACCTAGGTGTTCTTGAAGTTCTTCCCTCTACCTTGTCATACCTTCTGTTGTCAAATTTATCAGAAAAAATATCAAAAAAATAATATTTAACAACTAGGTATTGCAATTTAAACAAAACTTATATGATTGTCACTTTGTGTGACTTCACAGCATGCTTTTGTCTACTGTTTACATTCACTTACATTATAACAATTGTGCAAAGATTACCCGAAGCAAATTGACTTACAGAATGGCTAGGAATGCCAAGTGTATGAGATATCACTTTAGGAACTTCACTGGTCTGGAGTGGCTCTTTCTGTTCCAGAAATTGTACATAGCCTGGTGCATGTGTTACCACTAACTTCTGGCTAACAATAGCCTTACATAAACAACCTGAAAAGAAGAGGTATAGTTGACAGATACATGTATATTATATTGTGACATTTGAGGCTATTATGTTGCATTGTATTACCTTTACTAATTCAATTTTTAGTTTTAGTCATCATTTACTGTTATTTTTAGCTACTTAACTAGAATTTTAAAGATATTTTCTTTTTTGTACATGTACATACAGTAATTATGAACCATTCCAACCTGGGGACTAGTATTACCTACAGTAACCGCGTTTATTTTCTCTACTTTGGGAATGGTGTCGGTACCAGACTGATTGGGAAAAAAATGCGTTATTTTGACTAAAATTGGGATTTTTTTTAATGCATTTTTTCAGCTACAAATGAGATTAGACATCATAAATAAAGATAGCTAACAGCTTCTACTGTCCAGATAGAACTATTGAGTGGTGATTTATATGAATATGTTGGATTTAAATGATTTTAGAAAAATCACTTGGCCTTGTGGGCATTTTGAACAGCCATTTTGGGAATTTAACATTGGAAATTGGGAATTTTAATGTCTATTTTCTATTGGGAATGGTACCGTTTTAGGGTAGTAGTTATATAAAGAAAAAAAACACTGAGTAAGTACTCATTATTCCCTATTATTTTACACTGCTGCTTATGACAGTCACTGCCTAGAATAGATATATTTCCCTAATTTCACTTATATTAACAACTGTCAACTTTCATTTGTATTGTTTACACATGAATAAAATTAATGTCAATGACAGCTTTACAAAAATCAAAGTTGTATTATAAAATTGTGATAATAATCCTGTTTTGTTTCAAAAAGTTTAATTTTCAACCCCTTTAAAAATGAAAAAGCACAGAAAATAATTGTTGCTGGGCTCTGATAATTGCATCAATGCATGTTCTGTGAAAATCATTCTAAAATTCTATTGTCAGTCCCTAGAAAGGCTTTAATTAAGGCTAACTGACTGTGCTTTTATGTGCAATATTTATCTACTGTATTTACAAATTGTACAATTGTTAAAGTTTTGTATTTTACCTTTTTTTTTTCAATGTTCTTTTTTTAATTCTGCTCTGATCATGCCGTTATGAAAAAAGCTTCTTTTGCTGTTATGATTATTTATTCAATCAATGTGTTTAATTAACAAAAAATGATTAAATAATGCATCTTTCATATACAAATAAAACAACAAATCATAAGCATGAAAAAACAACCACGTAAAAGTTGTTATATTAAAGTTATAACTGATAACATCATTACATGCAACTGTGACACTTTTATCAAGATTACAACACTTGCATTACCTTCTTATTATTTTTTTTACAAAATGGCGGAGCATATTTATTAAAGTGAACACACAAAGAAAAATGCAGGGACTTGGACACTTGGTTAAAATCCTTGTTTAAAGAAACAAAAAAAACTTATGCATTTTCAACTTTCATATGTCACAGGGTGAGAAAAATATGCAGCCTGACCGGGACTCGAATCCGAGACCCTAGGAATACCGTTCTGCAGCTCTACCGACTGAGCTATCCGCCGCTTACACATCTTCTTCCCTATTTAGTGAACAGTTCTGAACTCTGACATACTCCCCTGCTTTATTAAAATTTGTCCTGGAATTTCACAGAGTTACGTACAGAGCAATGTAAATTAAACTCTGAGCTATATCAGTCACGTCCCAAATTTGGGCGCCAAATGTCACAGGGTGAGAAATATGTGCAGCCTGACTGGGACTCGAACCCAGGACCCTTGGAATACCGTTTTGCGGCTCTACCGACTGAGCTATCCGGCCGCTTACACATCTTCTCCCCTATTTAGTGAACAGTTCTGAACCGTGACACATATAATTTTGAAAAGTGCCATAGGGCTACACAATACAGTGTGTCATGGCTAGTCGTACATACTCACGTACGGCTAGAACTTCCTTAAAAAAAATCTAGAGTTAACTCAACAGCACGATTAAGCAACGAATAAACACCTTTTTGTTACTAAGCTAAAGCACATGTTCAATATTAGGTACGAAATAGTTAACCTCACAACAATGATGATATAAGTCTATAAATTTTACCCCACCCACTAAAACTGCACATAAAAGAAAATACAATTATGCACTTGTACCAATTTGGTTTGTTGTACAAATAACATGACTGAGCCAGAAAACATAAGAAATGAAAAGAATACAAATTGTGCTTTAGAGCAATAAAATATGAAGCACTGGAAACATACTGGCAAGAAATAAATATATTATCATTTTTGCCGGAAGACTGTCCTCCATTTTGTTTGCATGTGACGTGACGTCATACAGGAAGTTTACTTTGTAATATTTTGTGGCCCCGTACCATACCGGATAAAATGCGGTACGATACGGAATCATTCTTGATTTTATATCATTTAAGTTAATTTACCCACATGCAGAAAAAGACAGAAAAAATAAACGATAATATTGATATTGAAGACGAATATATTTTCATGATAAGTAACCGAAAACTAATATACTGACATTTAGCAAAAGTGGAAGGCTGTCTAGTATATGTATAATAATGTAATGTTCTCAATACATACATATATAAATATCTTGGAATATTATTTTCATCTTCAGGAAGTTTTACTGAGTGCAAAAAGATTTTGTGTAAAAGTGTATTAAAATCAAATTTTAAATTAGTCAAAGCTTTCAATAATTTTAATACTAATCTCCACGTCTAAATACAGCAACTACTGAATAAATTTAGTGGAGTTTTGTCTATTTCATTGCTTAAATAATATATGTGGTTCAAGTCAGAAGATTTTGGCTTAAAGCTGGAACATACGATACGTTATAGTACATCCCAGCTTAAAGCAACACGCCTCCAGATTTATAATAATTTTCATGAAAATTTTGAAAATGTATTAAAAAGTATATTATTGTTAAGTGAACAAAGAAAATAATTTAATATGGTGAAAATTACTGCAAAATCGGTCACATGGAAATTAGTACTTTTATATTGAATAATTTTACTTTTAACTTCTGATTTTTTTCTCCAGTTTGATTTTCTTGAAATATTGTTGGTTCATCTGGAGGCACGCAGCCTTATTTCTAGTTTTAACAAGTCACAGTATGATTTTCTTTTGTCGTTTATCCTCCGAATCATGCTGAATTCATCAGCTAGAGAACAGTTTATCCACTGGGACGTTCCAGGCAGGCTGTCAAGCAGCTCACTAGTTTTAGTGCCTTCACTTTCGCAAGGAACTGATATTCTTTCTCTGTACATGCCAGAGCAGAGGTACAGTTCGAATCACAGTAGAAACGATTTCATGAACAATCACAACGAAAGTATCCTGCACCGCCCGGGAATCGAACCTGGGTCGCACAATTCACAGTTTAACGCTCAACAATAAATAGAGGATATTGAATGAGTGTAAGCTCCACAATAAAACAATATAATAGCATATCACTGTATTTTGTCAATTAGTTTCATCACATATGTATCAAATCGTCATATTCTTCCACTGCAATATGAAACTTTTATATTTTTTCATAAATTCTGCAATGCTTCTGTCAGGGCCTCATAACATTTACTTACTAGATTGAAATGTATATTTATTGGGTTTACACCACGATTTTGCTTGATGCGTATTCACTTGATAAATTTCATTTATTCTATGTTTTCGTGCCGGTTAGTTCAATAGGTAGAGCGTTGTACTGTGAATCGGACGACCCGAGTTCAAGTCCCGGACGGTTCAGGTCACTGTCGATGTGATTGATCATGAAATCTTTCTACGGTCATTCACACCGTACCTCTGGTCTTAAGGAAATTGCCTCTCTTCACTTGTTATTAATGCTATGTTTCATTATATGTTTTGTGTTTTATTATTTCATGTAAATATTTGTATTTTTTGTATGTATATATGTTATGCTCTTCAAATATTGGAGGAAATAAAAGAATATAACATAAAAAAACTTACAAAAGATTTGCAAGTATAAACATCCGGAACAAAGACAAATTGTATTTTAAACAAAATTATTGACACCACTTGTACATATAATCAAGGTCCTATAGAATGTATTTTGAAAGACCCTGTTATTATGCTGTTCATTTTATTAAAAAAAGAAACTCTAGGTATACATAATTTTGTTTAATAGTTAATATAAATTTGTACGTGTACGCATAAAAGGGCCTTAAGGGCCTTAAACTATGCCGTGTTCTAACTTCGCTTAAACCCAATAAGGTTCACATAAAATATCAAAATGAAATATTGACAGCATTTAACATTGGCGTGTATGCGACATTCATCTTTATTTTCACTTAACCGTGACCGTAATTTGATCGTATTCTGGTTGACTTAACCACAACATGTGTGTTTAGTATTAAACATATAGAAAGTAAAGCTTTAGTTAAGGTATTAACAAAGGATCAACTTAAGAGAATATTACAAAATCTTCTTTGTGGCGTAATTACTAGACTAAAAAGTATATTTATACAGGAATATACAAGTTGACGGGACGGTATAATAATATTTAATGTATGTATCTAATGTATACGTTGTGTGACAGTCGTAAATATTTTCATTCATTTTCCTTGAGGGCAATTAACAGTGTACAATAATGATACCGCAACGCATAAAAGTCCTTCACTTTAATTAGAAGTTGACAGTGACAAAGAATGATCTGACGAATTTGCTGAAAAACGGATATTTAACTAACTCTTTAAAAGTTAAGTTATAACTAGATCTAGGATAGAAATTAAAGGATGGCAAACACTGGAAAATCGACAAAGGTGGATCCGTTTATTCTAAAATACATGGGAGTGCAATTCAATCCAGATAAATATGTGTTTCATTTATTACTAGTGTTGACTTTGATGTTTATGATACTATACACTGTTGGAACTTCTGTACCCGCGTGGTACGTGCTAGAAGAAAACGTTAACAACGTGAGCACGTGCAGGTCTGCTGACCGTTACTTAGAGCCACACGTGAGACGGTACTGGAATAAAAATCCGAGCAAACTGCTTTTGACTTCAAGTCTATGGTTTATAAATGTACATTTAACTAGTGACGATGTAAAATACACTAAATTTGTGCCATTCATTTTTGCACAAAAAGAAAATTTAGCCGAAGAAACTCGCAATGGTATGTATTTTATTCAATATGTGAAAATATAAAAGTAACCTGAAGACGGAATAATTAGTAACCGTACCAAATTATTTAACGCTAAAATGTATTTTATGTGTAATGTTTTCTAAGTGTTTTTTTGGTATTCACTACTCAAAACTTAAAGGGCGTATAAAATTGTAATATGCGAATAATTCAAACAGCGAATAAAGGGACCTTGTATTTGGGAATCTTATACACGTTTATGATGCATGTATTATTAAGTCATCTTTTTCTATTTGATTGGCAACTATAAGTATAAACACGACATAAATGTTCGTCTTTTTTAATCTGGATTAAGAATTTGTTTTTTTAAATGTTCAAAAACATTTGTACGTTATTCAACACCTATAGTTGTAGATTTAGGGTAATCCAACCTGGCGTTTTATTGAACACGTCAATTAAGCTGGTGGTTTTATATATGCATGTATATAATAAAAAGGATAAATTACCAGTTGTGTACCCGAATCAAAGTATTAAATATATATACAAATACATACATACGAAACAATTTCCTTCCTCTGACAAAAAAAGCCATCTTAAAAATCAATTTTAATTCATAAACTTAAAAATCAATTTTAATTCATAAAGATTTCTTTACTTTTGGCATTCATAGTTTACTTTGAAAGTTAAGATTTTATTCAACAAACAATGTAGATATCCAATTTGATTTATAAAAAAAGTGCGTGTTTGCGTTTGGTTTACAAATATTCAAACCGAATATTTGCATTTGTTTTTGATGCTTTATATCAAAATTATTTGCTTTTTTTTTTGCTAAATATACCTGTTTTCATTTAATAGAATATGCAAATTACAACATTTTCAGAACAACATTCCTATGTTTCCTTCTAAAGTTTCATTATATATTTATATTAGATTTGTTTATAAATTTAGAGTTATTAAGTGCACATTGAAACCGTCCATCTTATTCAGAACTTAAAGTGAATTGTTTTATTATGAAAGGTGTGTAGTACAATATATAATTACTTTTACAGCATATAGTATGAGGCATAATTACAAACCATGAAATGATTGTATATTTATATTGTTGGAAAGTGTGAGATACACAATCCGATATAATATATATTTATATAGCAGATAATAAAACGTTTTAGAACAAAATATTATTATTTATCATATAAATATTCATATAAAATCAGTTACAATTTTATAAGCATTTTTCTTTTTTTTTTCCAAGTAAAAGTTTATAAGAATACCCAAGTGATTTCTATTGTTTTTTATCAGTATTTGAAATACTTTTGGAAAATTTGCCCATTGTAGGCCAATCCAATTTAATGACACACACACATAATAACTTAGTACTACTTATTGTCAAAAAGTTAAAGCTTTAAGTTTCTGGTCGAATGACAGTTATTGTTATTCTTCCTATATGAAAGAAAATACATACATTTACTGAATATTTGTATATATTTTGTTGATAACTTTGTCGATATTTAATTACAAGACAGACAAACATAAAGCTGTTCCTCCAGGATATATTGATGCATTGCATGTGGCAATGTATAATTATTACTCTATGATGTTATTTGATTTTATGATAAATACCGTATAGCACTTATACAAGTACATGCTTATCAAAATTTAATATACTATTATGCTCGTATTAGCAATCATTTTCCAATAAAACATTTTTTTGTACATGAACAAATATGTACATCGCTTGACTTATTATTCATGAAACTTCATGAATAAGTTACCACGATTACCCATCGGTCATTTTTTAACCGAGAAAAATTTAAGTCATTTTAATTAACTCTACGTTAGTAACGAGATGTCAATACGATTAAGGGCATTGGTTTTGAAAATTCTAAACAATTGTAATACTCTAAAGAATAGAGCAATTCATTACAGATACAACTTTTATTTTTCTTGTAAGGTTGTATAATGATCTAATTTAATTCACATAGTCATTCAACATACATGTACATATTACAGTCTTGCTACTCGTCTTAGATTTCTGAGAGTAATTAAGGATGAAACAAACCAACCCCATCCTCCCATCTTCGAACCACATCTCCGTCACACTAGAAAATAATAAAAAAAGACAAGCAGTAAAACAAACAAAACAACAGAATGATCATGTTTATGCATATATATACCGTTTATTGTCTTCAAACGACATATGTCTTATCTTCAAACTACAAATCTGGGGACAGAGCATTTCTTCTTTAGAAGAACCATTGAAATCCCATTCTTTCATTCTATCAGCAATATATTCATTTGTAAGGGGATTTGCAACACAGGTATATCACATGTAAAGAACGATTTTTATTATGTCGGAACTGGACTTGTGTGTACTATATAAGTTTTCTTAATAGGTTCTGGTTGTATTGGTTAAAGTACCAGGGTTCAAAGATTTTATATTCGTTATAAAGATTCCTGACAGGTTACATGGCCGTATTTAAACGGTTGTTTGCAATATAACACACACCTAGGGGATCGGGCAATATATACAAACAATTGTTTATATTATTAGTTATAAAGATCGTTGACAGGTTATATGGCCCTATATAAACGGCTATTTGTAAATATAACCCGAGCCGTTAGGCGAGGGTTATATTGCAAACAGCCGTTTATATACGGCCATTAAACCTGTCAACAATCTTTATAACGAATTTATAATACAGCAAGCATCATTTTTAGAGAAAAAAAGTAAGATTTCTTCATGAATCGACAGCAGCCGTGTATATAAAACTATATAAACGTCACGATTATCCAATGAAAAATGACGTTACAAACGTTTGCATAAAGGGTCATAATTATAACATGTATAAATCTTCACAACCATTAATACATTGTATATACCAGGGATCAAACACTTTTTATCGTCATTGGTACGATTCTTACTTCAAAGTCGTTTTTTACAACCTTCCTTTACAGAAATAGGTTAAAACCCCTTTCCCAACTACACATGTATCTATCTTCACATCTTACCCCTTTAAGACATTTATTCTATTTATCTACTTTCCCATAAAGATCAAAAAGGATATACATGACTTTAAAATTTATAATAATATGACAGGGAAAGGAGGAAACATTATTGCACTTAGTTCAGATGTCAGTTAAAACTAAATGATTTATTATTGTACGATGACAAGATGAGATGGCAAGTTTAGCCCGAGGCCATTTTCAATTGTTTCAATGAGAGAAAATATAAACGTTTTCTCGCGGGCATATCTTTTTCGTCAAAAATATATACATTGTACTTTTCAAACTTATGAGGAAAATGCCAGAAGCAATTTACGTCTCATGAAAGAGGAAACATTGATATGCATTTTTTTTCTAATCTTAATTTGATCAAAACTAGGATTTTTATATCAGATAAAAACACCGTTGTGTTTAAAATACACATCTTTAACAATCAGAAAGCGGTCTGACCTAAAAGGAGGAAGAAAAGACATATGGTTGATCATGCAGTCCCTTAATTATTTGATATGATAATAAAAGTGTAAAACAGTTAGGAAATAAAAATAAAAATTAGGAGTTTCCACATTTTTTGAATGAATTTATAAGAAAACTGACAATTTTTTTCTGATATTTTTTTTTATAATACCTTATTTTTAAACGTATTTCGGTGTATGTAGCAGAATGGAATGGCACTAATTAGTAACAAGTTCTTGTAACGCATTCATAACGACTTCATTTAACCAACAAATATAAAAACATCACCACCACCACCACCAACAACAACAACAACAACAACAAATGATTGTTATGGTATTAAGAATTAAACATTTCTACAAATTAAGCCATGATTAATGTTCCACCGTCTGTTATCCAGCTGTTACTATCAACAAATTGTTCATACATGCATTATAAGTTAGTTCAGAAGAAATGTACAGCTCAATGTCTAATATGGACAAAATGAGACGATTAATTATATTAAAATTATATCGGTTCTCGAAAGAGTTATAATATAGGATTTATCTGTTATTTAACACACATGAATATTGTACGTAAACAGAATAAAATGTTCCGAAACAAAATATCATTCTGATATTCTAATTTAAATAGTTTTTTTCCCGTTTAGCAATGATTTCGTGTATGTTAAGGCAATTTACTATGATAATTATGTAGTTCATGCCAGCATTTTGGAAGTATATCTACATGCATATATTTTCTTTAAAACAGCAGATAAATAGCTTTATACACTTTAAAGCAATTATGTTATATTCAGAGTTGCATATTCAGTGGCTCTATTTTATGGCGTTGCATATATGTAGCGAGTGTACATGTACATGTATTCTGTAAACTGGCTTATTTCATACGCATAAATATATGTGATTAAATAAGCCTGAATTACACACGGTTTGATGTTGAAGTTATATCACATATACTTGCAAAATATAATGTTTAAAAGTTTCATACAACGGTTGAAATAAACCAATGAAAACCAGTGACTAAGAATTCGTGGATCGTATGGTTATGTCCTTCGAATTACTATGACCACAACAGTACTCCATATTGTCTATAGATGGCGAGTAATTAATATTTTTAAATTGGTGATTTGCTTGTTTCCACCGAATCTATGTTCATTTCAGTCCAACCTCTTTAGTGGACAAAGATAGTTGAATCTTAAAATTGGATAGTCAGTTTAAAGTTCGCTAATGTCACACATGTCAGCATCGCTCCATCTAGTTCAGAATGTCGCCAGCAGACGAGAATAAAAGGAACAAAATAATCAATATTTATACATTTCATATGCAAATATGGCAGGTTAATGATTATTAGTAAACACAAACCAACCTGGTGCAGCCGGATTATGTAGCTTTTTGTTGTTGATGAAAACGTTTTGTAATGTAACAGTTGTTGTTAAAGCGGCTTTCTCGTCAATTATATTTAAAGGAACGTTAAGCTTTCTTCGTGCAAAATCGTATACATGTATTGAAAAATTCTATATTCCTACATAATGTGATAGACTTTTATATAGATAAAACGCGCCATAACTTAAATAATTTTATACATGTGTCTGTATCTGTTACCCCATGAAATACAGCCGACCATTTATAACTTAAAGGCCCATTATGCCATTGAAATGTTCTATTTTTATTTCTCTTCTTCTTCGGCTTTTTAGCAATTAGTATAGTTTTAGTAATTTAGTATTTTGTATGGTAGTCAAAACTCTACTATGTTGACTTTTTTTCTATTTTTATGACAAATAATTTCACTTTAAATGCTACTTTCCTCAGGAAACAAACACCTAACATGCTCTAAAGCCATTATTTATAGGATATTAAACTCATTTTTGCCATTTAGAAAGATGCAAAATTTATTCGTTTCTTAGGCATAATGTGCCTTCAAAATTTATTCGTTTCTTAGGCATAATGTGCCTTTAAACGCCGAGTTATTTTATGTTATATCAATTGGCAGCAACACTTGCTTTAGTTTCTTTTTAAACTTATTTCACCCACCTGATCTTATTACATGTATATGGTATCAAACACACAATCTGATTTAAAATAATCTCAATTATATTTTCCCTACTTCTAAAGGTATTGAGTATTTCATTAGATATTCCATAATGATTGAATAATTTGAATAATTATTCAATATTAATTACAAAGACATACCTTGCAGAAGGCGTAATTATTATTCAAAAAAGAAACACAGGAAAGAAATGTTTCATCAAGCGTAATATGATAGCTTTTCGATAAAATCACAACTTTTCCGGATTTAGATCGTACATTTTCGAGCTTTGTTAAACAGTTTGAGAAATAATGCTCATTGCGATTCCAAATACAAATGAATCTTCATTTATATTATATCGGCAATGGTTAATTGCTAAAAGCTTGTGGATAAGTGAGAAATAGACTTTTTAACCAAATACAATGCTCAATCGTTTTATTTTATCAATATAGAATATGATGTAGATATCATTTATTCACTAAAATCACATTTGCTCAATTAGGTCTGTAACCTCATGTACTATGTTATGTAGACAAGCTGTTACTTAATGGCACATTATGCCTCAGAAACAAATACATTTTTACTTCTGTAGAAAGGTCAAACATTAATTTCATTATGTTTAGATAATGTTTTAAGGGAATGCAAGATACTTGTTACAAAATGATTTGTCAGAAAAGTAGCAAAATGTAAGCAAAGTAGTATTTTCTTCAATTCAAAATACTATTTTACTATTATAACTGTACTTATTGCCAAAAAAGCAACAGATGAAAAAAGGTTCAGGTGAATGGCCAAAGAGTAGCTTATACTATAAAAGAATTAGAAAATTAAAGAGCTTTTGTACATTGTTGTAGATGGTGCTGGGTGTGGGTTGATGTTTATTTTACAGACTCATTCATACCGAATCTACAATTTTCACATGTAAACTTTTGCTTTCATAAATTTTGGGAAATATTGCTGTTTTATGATTGTAATGAAACGGAAACGCATCGGTACCGGGAACGGTTGGCCGAACATGACACTAAAGTTACTGTTCACTTTAATGTGTTGATACGAGTTATTGGCATCATACAAGTGCATGTAGATCAACGTACGAATTGTAACAGCAAAGCAAAATTAACAAATTAGCATTATCATGGATTTGGCCAAGTAGTATCTTATTGTTGTTAGTATCGACATTTGCATTATACCATTACTTTATACAACAATTCTAGTTAATTAAAAACACATTTCTGTAATCTGTATTTGCACATGTAAGGGCACACTGGCAGTCGTGTTAGGGTGTTTGGAGGTTGTGTACTGCTGAAATGTTTGTTCACTTTTCTGTGTTGCGTGTCTTTTTCTTTGAACAACTTTGACAATTGTGTTTATGTTCACATCTAATGCATGTTATATGTCTGACGCAGTAGTCAAGTCTATTTTCATTTCTATTTTCAGGAATGATAGTTGACAATATGTTTCCAAAATGTTTGACGACAATTATTACGTTTACGTTTCTCAGTTTGGGCGTGGCCTTCACGTGTTGTGCTTCTAACCGGCCGGGTAGATTAATCTACTTCGGGCTTTCGTCAGTTATGATTGTAGCTGGTAAGTCAACTAGTTTTTTTCAACTGCATGTAATATATTCAGGCAATAGATATTAATTTTGAGTGCATTGTTGTATAATAATGCACGATTCAAGTTCAAATGCGCAGGAATATATTAACGTCAAAGTCGTGATTCCATGACGTCATCATCAAACATATTAAATTTCTAGATAAATAAAATTAAAGTATACGTGTATCAATAATATAAATATTTGGCCAGTTCTTTCCCGTACATTACAGCTGTCGGTAAATCCTGTTTCATTTTTTCTCTCTTGTTCGTACGTAAATTACCTAATGTAGTGCCATGCTTATATACACATTCACATTCTTATTCTTTTCTTCTTTTCAGCAATAACAACTTGGGTATCCGTTGCCATAACTACCAGCGAGAAATATCTTCTATCAGTTGCTTTTGACCTTTGCCTTCAGCAAGGGGCACTGAAGACATCTTTTCTGTTACAGATGGTTACCGGCTCTGCCGGAATTTTAGCGTTTATTTTTGGATGCATTTTAATTCATATTGCGATACTTATTAACAATAAATTTAACACGGAGAGGATGTGCAGTGACAAAGATGATTTAAGTATTCAAGAACAACTATCTTTCATGTATCAAGACTTTAAAGACTCCGGGAAGGGAAAGTTTTCTAATGTTTACAACCTTTGAAATCGATTATGTATTTGTTTGGAAAATGTGGTGATAGAGAAGTTCATCGTGCTAATAACATCAGTAGTCAATAACCGTCATACACATGTTACAACATGACTTTATAATTAATCTCAACGTTTGGTCGTGTTGCAACGTGATTCTATAAATGATCTCAGCGTTTTGGGAGCGCAATCAAATTTGGACCCGCAGACATCGCATTCCCAATTCGTACAATTAATAAAAAAAAATAGATATGAAACATTAGAGTACAGGCTGCATTTATCATAATTGTCAAGTCACGTTGAATTCAGCTATCTTAACATACAGTCTTGCATTTGACTATATCTTGTCTCGTTTAAATTTGGATCTCTGTTCCTTTCACATATCAAACATGTTCATTATCGGACCAAAACGGAATGTTTACTTTTCATCAGACTTCTATGCAGAAAAATTCTGTTTTTATACATAAATATGTGGCAGGCTTAGAAAATATTACAAATGCTCAACCGTATATTTGAGCATTTGATATGCTTAAAGAACCAAAATGTGATTTGAGCCGCGTCACGACAAAACCAAAATAGTGCGTTTGCGACCAGCATGCATCCGCGCAGTCTGATCAGGATCCATGCTGTTCGCTATCAGTTTCTCTACTTGTTATAGGGTCTGTAAGCGAACAGCATGGATCCTGATCAGACTGCGCGGATGCGCAGGCTGGTCTGGATCCATGCTGGTCGCAAACCCATTATATGTTGGTTTTGTCGTGACGCGGCTCATTTATTATTGTGCAAACGAAAAATGAACAATATTGAACACTAATATACACGTATTATAACTTAATTATACGACGTACCTTCCTTTATACAACATAAATAACTTTAAATATTATATGACTGGTATATGATATATTACGTGCCTATGTAATAACTAAACTATATGTTTTGCCAAAGCAGTTTTATATATCTTTTAAATGAATAAAATGTACAAACATATTGCATGACTATTCAATGTCTTCACTCCAGACTGTTAGATTTGAAAGAGTCATAAGAAGAAACTAGCTATTATTATTTCAAACATTGAATTATGTAAGATAAAAACAGAAACAAAACAAATTTTAAACAAATTTCGTTTGACATTATATACCTTATTTAACACTAAATTACTTTCGGCTTCAAAAGCTACACATGCCCATCAGTGCAGTGCAAGATGAAACGGCACATCCGTGCCGCCTGTTCATGGTCTGTTGGTCGGTATTTTTCCTAATTATAAACTATTGGATTGATAAAAAAGCAAGTAAGGAAATATTACTTAAGTGCTTTTACAAAAAATAAGACATTTTGTAGGCATGGTCCAAAAAAAGCTGCTTTAGGGAGTAGGCGGTGTGGTTTTCAAAATATCAGAAAATGTATTTATTTACAATTTTTTGTCTCTAATAATTTTTTTCTTAGATTTCAATTTAATAAATCATATTATACGTATGTCTTTTTTCACATCTATTTTTTAAATAACATTGCAGTCAGTATTTCAGTGGAGGGCCTCTGATAATGTTGTTATAGCTTTTGGCCTAACCATTTTTTATATTTACGTTAATGTATTTATATAAAATTGTGAAAATTCATGTACAGTGTATGTATATACAATAAAATATGTTTAAACTAAAAATAGCGATAATGAATATACAATGTATAAGCTAAACAAATGATTGAGATAAACTGTTTGGATTTTTGCAGAACTAGTCATAGAAAATTTATTATAAAATACATTTTTGTAGTTTTGATACAGTCTTTTCTTTACCTGACGATACTGGCAAATGCCTCCATCGTACACCAGTGCCAGTGTCTTGTGTGTCTTATTGTGGTGAAGGTTCTGTTGCAGCCTAAGAACATAAAATTTGAATTTCTTACATATATCAGCAGAGGAACTTAAAGATAACAGAAGAAACAATGAAAATCGTTTGTTTGTTTCTTTGTGCTACTATATGCCCGATTTTAGTGAAATTTTGGATCATCTTTCACAATTAGATTTTTTTCTGAGAAAAACAAAACAAAAAAAAAACAAAACAACTGAGCTAATGATCTGAAATTTTGCACACAAGATGTTTGTCCAGATGTTACATTGCTCTTCAAAAATTACAAGAAACCTCAGCAGAGCTACCTCAATGTTAAGCGTAACTTTTGAGGACGGAAATCTATGTATAAATCTACAATTATTGTTAATCAATTACTATTAAATCAAAAACGTAATTATTCCGGTGAGAGTGTCTCACTAAAAAGCATCCGGAAGGAGTATAGCGTCGGGAAGCGCCCGGAACCATTACAATCCTTTCGAACGCTTCCCGACGCTATATTTCTTCCGGACGCTTTTTAGTGAGACCGCCGGTGTGATGAGTCATTACTTTCCTGTAACACACCTTACAAAAACATGTACACCCGCATAGCGTTCATTAACAACTTACAAAGCCACAATAACATGTTTTGTTTTGGTTTTTGAGAGAAAAAATGACCGGAATTCATATTATAACTTTTAGTTTTCAATTTCTGTTTATTTTGGCAAAATGGTTGTCTTTGACCATTTATAAACACTTAAAAAACTTATGGCGAAGACAATCACATAGACGAATGTAAACATATACATAGAAAAAATAAATAATAGAGCACAAAAAGAACAATACTATAAGATCAGAAGGCAGGCATATTTTCCTAGACAACGCGCTCCTTCAATATATTTTGCAAGATCATTCATAATGTCATGTTTTTGCTATAGATAATCAAAGCGGCAGATTTGAGGATTATTCATTAGAAGAATTTCTGTGAAAAGACACCTACCTGGTGCAAGTTTTTATTCCAATATTGTTTCCCGGTTATAATATAATAGTGTCTAACTGTTGCAGTTTTCTTTGCTAAAATTCAGAATATTTCAGTCTTAAAACAACTGTAGTCCGTTAAACACAACATAATTTCTGCCGCTTTCCTTTAAATATTTGAAATATATGAATTTGAGCTGAATAGGACATTTGTTGGTAAATTAAGCACCAAGAATAATAATTACCCTGTTCAGTACGATCCAAGCTATCTCACCCGGTCTTATACAAATTTGTCCATATGTGCCTTTTCTGGCACATCCGTTTCTACCACAAGTTACCGTTATCAAACATACAAGTAAACCTGTAACCCCTCTGTTTTCACAAAATGAGCCTTGATTTTAAAAGAAAGAAACAAAATTATGCTATTTGACATCAGAAATATTACAGCTAGTCAAAATTTGAAACGATGCTTTTTAACATATAAGATTTACATTAATGATAATATTCAACCATTTTGACCTCTTTATGGTAGTTAACATTGGTTGTAAGTGCCATTGATATTGTCTAAATTGCATTATTTTGGTAACTTCACAATATTGTACTGTTAGATACTTTTACAATTTTTTTATGAAAATTAGCATGAATCTGGAGGCGTGCTGCTTTAAACATTATTTTCCGTAAAAGTTTGTTTTAAGAGACTGTTTGGTACATGAGACCATTGTAGAACCTAACACAATTTGTAATATTTGAAAAGTATTTGTAAAAGATAGGTTTTCCTATGATTCTGAAGCTGTTGTCCTGTGTTTCCTTTTTAGCCCCACGTTTCCGAGAAAAATGTGGAGCTATGGTCATTACCCTCTTGATTTAAAGACTTGTGTAATAACATGACACTTGAAATATTGGCTCAATTTCAAAATTGGACTGCGTCTATAAAGGGCAGGTAACATTATAATTTATTTTTCAGTTATGCCCTCTTTTTATACTTTGAATTTCTAGGTTAAACTTTTTGTCTAGGTAAATTTAAAATGAACATTTAAAAAACAAACAATTTGCCACAGTGCAGTTGTCTGTCTGAGATATACATTATTTACTGTGAGATGAAATAATTGCCTTAATAATAATATTTAACAAAAATGATGAAACCCCTCTGGAATTACCCAAAATCTAGTTTTTCCATGTTAACACGTGCCCTTTCACCAAATTTTGGTTTTGTGGCATTTATTATTTTTTAATAAAGTATACCCTTCAGTTGGTTTAGTTGCGATCACCAAATAAAGCGTCTTAGGTTAATTGTTTCATTTTGCCCCGCCTGTGGGGCAAATTGCACATAAGCTATTACGGGGCAAATGAAATATCGTCCTACAGCACAAGAAGTAAAACAAATCAAATGATTTCATTATGTCCCGCCTGTGGGGCAAATTGCACATAGGCTATTACGGGGCAAATGAAATATCGTCCTACAGTACAAGAAGTAAAACAAATCAAATTATTTCATTATGTCCTGCCTATGGGGCAAATGGCACATAGGCTAATACGGGGCAAAAATGAAATATCTTTCTACAGTACAAGAAGTAAAACAAATCAAATCATGCCCGCCTTATGGGCAAATGGCGCATATACTATTACGGGGCATAAAGTAAAACAAATAAAATCATTTCATTTGGCCTTGCCTATGGGGTAAATTACATACATGCTATTACTGGACAAAATGGAATATCGTTCTACAAGAAGTAAAACAAATCAGATTGAGCCGTGCCATGACAAAACCAACAAAATGCGTTTGGGACCAACACGAATCCATACCAGCCTGCGCATCCGCGCAGTCTGATCAAGATCCATGCTGTTCGCTATCAGTTTCTCTACTTGTAATAGGGTTTGTAAGCGAACAGCATGGATCCTGATCAGACTACGAAGATGCGCAGGCTGGTCTGGGTCTATGCTGGTCGCAAACGCACAATTTTGGTTTTGTCATGGCACGGCTCAATTATTATTTCATTATGCCTCGCATTATGGGCAAATGACACATAGCCTATTTCGGGACAAAATGAAATATCGCAACATGAAGTTAAACAAATCAAACTATTTCATCCAAAAGCCTTTTTCTACTTTTAGAATGACTTAACATTTTCAGCAAAGTGTTTTGTTTATCTTGTAAAAACTTAGCAGACATTTACCGCAATGAATACGCGTCCCAGATGCAGGATAATTCTGATAATTGTTGTCAATATAGGTGACTCATATAGATGCTTTACGACTTGATTCATTTTGCCCCATGTTTCATTTTGCCCGTGTTCCATTTTGCCCGTGTTCAATTTGCCCCGGTTTTCTTTTTGTCCCATGTTCCATTTGCCCCGGTTTTCTTTTTGTCCCGTGTTCCATTTTGCCCGTGTTCCATTTGCCCCGGTTTTCTTTTTGCACCGTGTTCCATTTTGCCGTGTTCCATTTTGCCCCGGTTTCCTTACGGGGTTTTACATCGAATTTAGTCCGATCTTTTT